AAGGTAAAAATAACTGCTTTTATTTCAATAAACGATTACAATATGAGTACATTTTATCACTTGGGGTTTGTTAGTATCCTTTGTGAATTTTCAGACACATCTGCTTTGCCTGGAGCAAATTATCGTCGTAAATTCATCTCCTAGGGCTGGTTGTATTGAAGGCGAAARGCGTTATTCTCAATCCTTGTCCAGCGGATAAAATAAGAGGACATCTATGGAGTGGCCTGGGGACAAGGACGTGAGCTTAATGTTGAAACAACGACGTGGGCGAGAAAGGATACAAAGTCACTTCCGGTACTTGACCGACACTGGTATGAGGACCAAAATGAGGTGGGTTCATCTGAGGACTTAATATTGTGTTCACATGAGGCAATATCGAAGGGCTTGCCTGAGTACTGTCTGTGGATCCCTGGGGTGCAACCTGAGGTACCGTAGTAGATGCAAATGGCGGTACAAAAATTGAATTCACCCTAGTATCTATACTGCTGGTTGGTTGGTTGGTTGTTATTATTGTCGGGGGGACTTGTATCTGCGCTGAACCATTTGGGGTCATAATAATTGAGGCCCTAGTCATAGCGGGACCTAAAGTTGAAGGTACTTGTGGGATAGGAGAGATAAAGAACCCTTGAGTAGGTGTATTCAGTGGAGTGAATCCTCTAGGGTTTAAGAACGCTTCTGAGTTGATTGAGGTTAGTATAGAGGCAATGGCTGTTTGTTCTGCTCGAGCACGTTCCTCTGCGCTACCTTCATTTGTGCCTTCGTCGACTTGATTTTGATTCTCTGAAAAATAAATCAATTTTTAATCAACGCATTTTATTCTTGCATTCTTCCCACTGTGCCGACTTACCAACGTCATTACTTTCAGTCAAAGCTTGTGATTGGTTGGTGTCATTGTCTCCGATGTTTTCCATGGTAACACCACCACTTTGGTCCAGTCCCTCACTGACAGGATCAGGTTGACTAGAAGCTTCACCCTTCTTCTTTCTTCTCCGTTTTGGTGTCGAACTGCCATCGGGATTGTGCCATCTTTTAAGATGCTTTTTTAAGTTGCCCTGTTGKGCGAACGCTGCTTCACATTTGTCACACTTAAAAGGTTTGTTGCCAGTGTGAGTGCGACAATGCATTGCCAGGCTGCTTGGACATGCAAAGGCTTTACCACATAAACTACAGTGAAATTTCTTTTCACGGGGCTTGTCTTTTGGTCTTTGAAGTTTTTGATGGACATATCTGAATGCGATGCAAACGAATTAAAATTAATATATTTACACTTGCTACTTTGTTAATTAGCTGCTACGTCAACAACAACAACGACAACTACTACAACAACAACTACAACAACATCACTACTAACTAGCAATCAGCTAACATACTTGATGTGTTTGGTGAGGTTGCCAGTTTGGCTGAATTTCTTGTGACACTTGCCGCATTCAAACGGTTTCTCRCCAGTGTGAGTTCGTAGATGAGACCTGAGATCAGATGGGCCAGGAAACACACGCGAACACTCCTCGCATTCATACTTCTTCTTGGACAACTGGCGTATAGGGCTTCCATCAATCTTAGGACATCGTCTGCATCTACAAAACACGACAATGTTTATGAGCAGAAAACATGACATCTCCATCCATCTCATTGTCTCTCAAAGAAACGAACTCTTTATAGCAGTGTTCATGTTGCTTAGAAGCACTTACCTAATATGCTTCCTAAGACCTGATTTCTGGACAAAATTCTGCCCACATAGATCGCATTTGAAGTCTTTTTCTYCAGTATGAGTTCTTTAACAGATAAAATAGAATTGAAATGGGAGGAATGGAATAGAACAGTGAGGGAGATGAAGATTTGAGAAAGACGAACGAAGAAAAGAAGATTAGCACTTACCGTTTGTGCTGCGTAAGTTTGTACATTGAGTCAAACTCTTTGCTGCAAGTCTCRCATGTAAATGGTTTCTCCATTCCTTCTTCTTCTGCATGTCGACGACGTATATGTTTCCTTAAATTGCTGCTATTGGCAAATGTTGCATCACATCTGACAACAAAAACACGCAGCTGTCATTATGGAATCAATGGCGATGGTGAAAGTAACATGCACTCTTACTTCTCACAGATGTAAGGCCAACTAGCTGCATGGGCTGCYGACATGTGACTTAATAGCTCAGTTTGACTTGGAAAAGCTTGCTTACAGTCATCAACCTTACAAACACAGCCTGATGTCTGAATCTTCTTCTGTACCTCTTCACAGTTGGGATGAAAAGAGTGTTTGTGGCGCCACAAGTGCCCTWCAATCAAATATTCTTGATTCAATTACTGAACTTTTTCTATGTATTCAGGAATATCTATACACAGCCTTGGTGAGCATGAACAAAAGATATTAACAGAAACCTTGAACTGAGAAAGGTACAATAAGCTAAAAGMAAAGATCTGTGCTCAGTGTCCTGTTGCCTGGGTAATGCTGTCTTGTTCATGGTCAATGTAACTGAGAATTAAAGAGTCATTGTTTATATATTAGAGTCATTACCTCGTTGTGTGAATGTTGTCTCACAATAGTTACACTTGTGTGGTCGTTCTTTCTGGTGTACTGACTGTAGATGTACACGCAGTACTCTGGAGTTGGCATATACCTTGTTACACAATTCACATGTCTTGGGTAGCTCTGCTGGGGGTAATGACTTGGGAGTTGTTGGTTTATCACCTATTGTATGCATCGGTTTCCATTCATTAATTTTTTTTATAGAAATTCATCTATTTGATACTCAATCATTTATCCAATTAATCAATCATTAAATCAACCAATCACCTTCACTGCGATGAACGGTGTTGATGTGACGTTTAAGATGAGGTTTTTGCGAGAATTTCCAGTGACAAAGATCACACTCAAATGGTCGTTCACCGGTATGTGAACGAATATGAACCTGTCATTGAAACACAACACCATTAAAACAATTACTGTCATTATCAYCACATTATAATCTAAAGGAGGAAAGGGAGGGGTAGGTAGGGTGATAGTTTGTGCATCTACTAAACTCACCTCCAAACCATGTGGGGTATCAAATTTTTTCTCACATTCATGACACTCGTGTCTTTTTTCTCGTTGTCCATTTCTTCTCTTGTCCTTTGCTGGAACATAGTTTGGGCTGTGTTTTCGRATGTGTTTGTGAAGATTACTCTTGGATGAAAATTGCTTTTGACACTCAGGACATTTGAAGGCATCTACTGAATGTGTCTGGATGTGCTAAAAATATATAGTCACACTGAATACCAGCATTTCAACCAAATTTACTCTGATGTTACAAGATAGTAAATAATATTTCAATGTGTACATAAAGTGCTACAAGAAAAGTCTCATGATTTCAAGCATTTAATAATTGTACTTACTTTAATTTTTTACACATACCTCTCTTAGATATGACAAGTTTGAGTAGGTCTTCTCACACACWGGGCAATTGTAAATCTCTTTGTCCTCACTGTGTTTTTCAAGGAGATGCTCTGTCTTCTGTTCCATGTTCTCAAAATCCATAAGGCATTGTGAACACCTAAAAAGAAACAAGTTCCACAATTACAGGCAGTAGTACTTCCTAGTTTGCTTCCTTATTTAGGGATCTTATATCATTTCCATGAGATTCAAAAAGCTGGCAGCCATGCTGGGCATATGGGTTTTAGCTATGATTGTGTGGGGTAAGTATGGTATGGTTATGCTTCTACTGTCTAATAGTTGACAATGAGAAATCTCCTGACAATAGACTGCTGACATGAATTGCAGGTGTAATCTGAAAACCAGCAATAAAGCCGATCTCTACTGTCAAAGTTTTCCATATCTAGGTCAACTTTGTCCATTATTATGGGAAATACTACTAGGTAATCCCTTGGTGTATTGTACATGTAAGTACCTTGGTTTGTGGCTATCATCTTTTGCAGCTTTTCTTGTATGTTGCAATAACAACTTGTTGCTCAAGAACACTGTGTCACATACTGAACACCTGTAACCATAGAAACCATATCAGATGGAGACCTTGCATAGCAACACTAACATACATGTACATCAAGCATGTGCACAACGAAGTGGTAATGACATTATAAAGAAATAGACAATTCCAAAATGAGTTTCACTTACTTTAGATACTTGATACATTTATGCGCGGTCATTATGAAATTGCTTTCAAAGAGACAGCCACAATTTTTACATATAAACTCTTTATCTTTACAGATTTCTGAGGAGACATGCTGGTCAGCTTCTTCTTTGTTAGGATGTACTGTACCACAGTAGCTACACTGGTATTTTAAGGTTTCTACAAATACGAATGTTATTTCAATTAAACTGCTCGATATATAACCAAAGAAAAAACRACTGATAACAACTGTGAATAAATGATTGGATTGATTATAAACGATTGATTCAGTTATAATGTGAATATCTAGTAAATGATTGGGTGATGAACTATACAATTTATTTACTGGTAATTGGTTATTATATTTTTATCAATCTGTGTGTTCGAACATAGAAAATAGTGGTTCAAAACTTGAAGATTACAGTCTCATGTAAAGATCGAGGTCAGTCCTATCATTAACTTGTTAATTATTTTCTACTTTACTGCACCTGTATTGCTCTGTTCTTCCAAAGTCTTGATTTCATAYACTTGGAAAATGATCTTCCTTCTCAGTATTGGTTTCCTGCCTTTTCTTTTGCCTCTTTTTTTCTGTTTGTAGTCACTGTCACTGTCATCATCCATTTCAACTACGTCCTGCTCATYGTCATCCACGTAATCAGCATCATTGCTGTCAACTGCAGCCTCATCTTCATTCTCATCACCATCATCCTGTTTCTCATCATTGTCATCATCATCATTGTTATCATYATCATGTTSATCTTCTTCCCTGCTGTTCTCATCAACTGTTTCTTCATTCTCTGCTCCTTTTTGTTGGTTAGTAGCTGTGGCTGGGTTGTCGTCAAGTGGCACCACYTGCAGTCGTCCTGCTTCAGAATGGGGAACAAAGTGGACAGGAATGTCTTCTACATATGCAGGATAACGTTTACCTAGGAATAGTTTGTTCTGTTATTAGTACTGCATTTCTAAAAAAACAATGAACTGTCATTCTCTCATTACTACATCTTTATTGTCTCATTGCACATCCATGTCTGTTAGTTTTGGTTTTTCAATTTCAATTTCTTCACATTATTATTAGTAGTACACTCAGGTGCCTGACCAATATCACTACTTGACTGATTTTTTTTCTTTGGTAAGTGTCTCTTTCTACTGCACTTCATGAGTTCAAATACAAGCCCTYTATATTTTAGGAGGCCCCAAATCCATACTTTCAGCATTGCAAAAAAAACTAACCTCCATAAGTATCGTCATAAAGAACCAATAGTTCTTCSCCTGGTTTGATATCACATGTCGCCTCATAACACACACCAACAGCAGACTTGTATGCTACAATATTTTGAGCCTTTTTACTGGATGCACTTTGAAGCCTTTGCAGCCACATACACTTCTCTTGTTCATCATTGTGAACATAGAACAGATAAGTCAACTTATCYACACCTTTGATCTGAATACAAAGATTTACACATCATAATAATACATGTATTTAAATACTGATTGCCAACAAACATGTCCATCACTTTACTTTATACCTTTGATCTGAACATAAATATTGCACATGAAGATTAAAATGCCRTTTATTTAGATCAAAGATCACAAGAACAGATTYAATGCAGCTGCACCAAAAATATGAGCCAGTAACCTTAGCGTCAACAATGTGATTGACAAATACTTATTTTGGAAAGGAATAATCATGATTTACTGTACCTTGCATAYAAAGCAATGGTCATCGTGAGTTTTTTTCCCTGTTTTTATAAACTGTCCTCTGAAAGGCCCAAAACACTTTCCTTTGACAATGCTTTGATGAGCAAGAAGACCAGCCTGACGCAGTTCAGGGGGGAGGTACTCATCTGAAACACCCCCTGGTAAAATAAAGTAATGAGTATCAGCAATGAATGACATAAATCAATTAGACAAAATGCAACATAAAGAAATGTAGTATCTTATTAAACATTAAATGAACAAATAAAAAATAACTTATTTGAAAAATTAAAACAATATTATAACAATTACAATGCAAATGCAAATGATTAATACTTAAAAACTCTACCTTTTTGATTATCAAAATGAAAAGTATATTTTCAAGTATGTTAATGAAGAAACTCCTTTCTATATTATAGAATAATTTCAGCTTTGTTTGCGCTTCCGCTGCAGTGTAGAAGAAATTAGCATATGCAAATGATCAAGTATTCCATTCCGAATTCACCAAGACTGAAGTGCGCTGATCCAACAAAAATCGTTCGATCTTGAATTTGGAACGCATGATTRATAGAATATCTATCGAATGTAATGACTGCTATRAAAACATTACGTGTAGACCGCGGAAAATTACCTCGGAAGCATTGTCAGAAATGCTTGAAATTTGACTCTGGTTTCGGGATCTAGCAAAGTTCAACTTTTGAGTCCTCTCTTCCTCACGGAAATAAACTGATCCCTTTGAACACAATTCTTACCTTTAACTCTAGACTTTTTCTGTGTTTTTGATACTCTAGATTCAGTTTTTGACWGTRATCGTTGCCTTTTCCCAACGCTTGCTGCAGAAGCCAAGTCCGTTGCTCCGCGCTTGGCAGCTTTGCGCCGTTTTCGTGTCGATTTCTGGTCCGATTTTTGTGGAGGTGAAGAYTTTACCGGAGTTTGCTTCAATCGTGCCATTCTAAATCTCATCACCAATGTTCTCGTGCAATTTCTAAGCTATGCAAGTAGAATTTACTGTAAATATGTGCACATTTCTATCCTTCTGCCTCGACCGACTCCAYATCACTCGTGGTTCCAGTCCGAGTTGTCTCTAATTTCAAGTCACGTGATATTCTATACTGTGGGAGGGAGAGACGAAGGTACTTGTTGACATAATATTTTACTTCCGGCACAGGCAACCCAAGCTAAGTATTTGACTAGCATAATCTATAATATCTATAATGCATGTAACGTAAATATGAACTTTTTGAAAGAAAAATGAGTCAAAAAAATTTGTCTTACCTTCTGATGTGGTTTTCGTTATATCACTGATATAAGTATAGAGGGGGAGATATCAAAGAAAAACGCCAAAAAACGCCACATCAAAAGGTAAGAAAAATGTTTTTTTACTCATTTTTTTCTTTCAAAAAGTTCATATTTGCATGCATTATAGATATCGCTAAATCTGCTAGTCAAATGCTTAGCTTGGGTTGCCTGTGCTTCCGGTGGTTTTTCTTGGAACCAGAATTTCTGTAATTTCATACCACTTTGCATGCTTGTGACTGCATGTTGGTTGCACTTTCTATGTGCGTTTCAATAGATTGAAGAACAGCTATAATCTTACCAATTTGACCAAAACACTTCTAAGAATGAATGACAGAGAATTGGTACGACTTTTGAACCGCTATTTCAATCAAAAAGTTCAAGTAAAAAGGRAAGAAAAGGCAAACGCCTTACATTCTTGGGAGCCTGTCGTCCGAGACATCCTAAAAAGAGTCACACAAAAGGATTCTCGTTTTAATTTCAAGCAGTATTTTTATAGCGGGAGCTACTACGAACGTACCAAAACTAAAGCACCAAACGAGTTCGATGTGATGCTGGAGATAGAGTGCCTAAGTCTTGGTGAATGTAAACCTTATGATCTTAGCACAAACGCACCTACAGGTTAGCAATTAATTCATTTATCTTTCATGAATATTAGTACAGTTCTTACCGTAAAGTATATGATTAGAATTTATATTTTTTTTGTGGGGGGGGGGGGGGGGGGGGGGAGAGGGCTTGAAAAAAAAATCCTGCATGGCATGAAGGCCGGAAAATGCAAGGCAAAGTGTTAAAAAAATCTGCACTAAAGATTTTGTAAATTTACAAAACAAATTACAATACTGTTCCTGATTTCTTAAAAGGATTCTTACACACTGCAAAATCTTGCACCTCCCCCCCTCCCCCTCAAAAGTCTAATGGATTGCCCCTGATAATGCAACTTTATGCATACATATTAGGTTTTACAACAGTCAAGGTAGACCGAGGAAAGGAGGATGATTGGAGGCGTGATGGYTGCATGGTGAATGGATTACTGAGTGCAACTAAAGTCAAAGCAGTTTTCTCTCGTCTCGTCAATGAAGCTGTTGGTGAGCTTCGCTATTTGTAAGTAATCAAAATATATTTGTACTATTAAACTCATCCTCGAGGAAAACCATGATAAAACTTCAAATATTTTTAATGAGACCACAACCTGTCTATTGTCATATATTATAATATCAAATTACGATGTACAATAAATTTACCATATTGTTTATTATATTAATAATATTAACATAACTGCTTTTTCTTTGTATTCTTTTTCTAACTTGGCAATTTTATTTCTTAGTGATACTGTGACAGTCAGGACAAGTGGTCCATCTGTAACATTGAAAATCAGGAGTCAAGATTTCACTGGCTCCATTGATTTGACACTGGCTATCAAAGATGCTACGTGGCCTGATGATGCAGGAAACTGGAAGTACACAATGAGAAGCTATAGCTTAATGCGTCAATTGATGTCTTTTGTGGTCAACTTTGAATGTAAATTATGTTTTTCTTCTCATCATTTATAAATTTTATCTTATCTGTAAATTGCTTAATAAATTACTTTCATAATTATACAATAACATGTGTAAGTGTTTATAACATTAATAAATATCTGTAGCAGGTTGGCCAGCAAAGCGTTTGGTCACAGAAATTGTCAATGGTGGTTGTCATTTGGTTGCTAAGAAACCAAAAGGCATAAACAGCAGTGATGCACATTTGTTTTGGCGTTATTCATTCTCTCAAGCAGAGAAAAAGCTTTTCACTGGAGGAAGCACAGGAGAGCCTGGGACAAACCGCAAAAAAGTTCTTCGCATACTCAAGTCTCTAAAAGAAGACTTACAAATGACACCTTTGACCTCTTACCATCTGAAGACCATCATGTTTTATGAATACGAGGCTTTTCCACATGACACAGACTGGTTGACTGACAAACTTGCTGCACGCTTCAAGAGTGCTGTGCAAAGGTTGATGAGATGTCTTCAGGAGAAGTCCTGTCCTCATTACTTCATTCCTAATCTTAACTTGCTTGATGACAGCAGTTTCAATGCTGAGCGCTATCAGTACTTGATTCGCAAGGTTGATCAAATGTTACGCAATCCTTCTCAAGTTATTCGTCCATAACCAGCTGGTAAAAAAACAGATCTTTATGACATTCAGAGTACTCTAGTAAATAGCTTCAAACTGAAATGACTGTTGAAGTTTAAGAATGGAAATTCAGCATGCATAAACAATATAGAAAAATGTTTTTTTCTTATTAGCCAGTAAATGATTGTGAAAAGGAAGGGGAGTAAAAAAATAAAAAAAATTAAATTCATCGCGTTTACATCACTTAATAAATCAAGAAATCTTTATAATTAGTTCTGTGCTGTATTAGAAATTTTGGAAAATTCTTGCTACAGGTACGCTTTTAATTCACGTGATATTTTATCCTGTGGGAGGGAGGGACGATGGTACTTGTTGACATAATATTTTACTTCCGGTGGTTTTTCTTGGAACCAAAATTTGCTACTGTTGCATATTTTGTCCATTTCTTGCTGGCTGGTTGTTTTTTCTGTGCGTTTCAATAGATTGTTCAAATAGCCCTTGATATATTCTTACAACCGATTTTACCAAGCTAAAATGAATGACAGAGAATTGGGACAACTTTTGAACCGATATTTCAATCAAAACGTTCAACTAAAAAGGAAAGAAAAGGAAAAAGCCTTGGATGCTTGGGAGCCTGTCGTTCGAGATATCTTAACAACAGTCACACAAAAGGATCCTCGCTTTAATTCCAACCAGTTCTATGGCGGGAGCTACTACGAACGTACCAAAACTAAAGCACCAAATGAGTTCGATTTAATGCTAGAGATTGAGTCCTTAAGTCTTGGTGACTGGCAGCCGTATGATGCAGATGAAGATGATCTTAGCACAGATCCACCAACAGGTTAGCAATTCTTATCTTCTTACATTATTCGATCAATTCTTCCATTCGATCAATTTACAGCAAAGTGCGAAACGAAACGAAATGGTTTCGCATGCCAAGAATTTACAGATTTAGTTGAGAAAACTGTAGAAATTGGTCTACACTTTTTTTGTTGCTCTCATAAAGCCACACTTAGCTCTCGTTTCATCTCTTTACTCCGACGAAGGATTTAACGTCCGAAACGTCTATAGTCACTACGTAAATTACTTAACCTACTTTTTTAAGTTGTTTATAATCTTATCTTTTTACACAATCAGTCATTCAGCCAATCAACCGTCATGCATTTATAGATTAGATAATTGTAACATGCAAATTAGCAAATTATTCCATTTTCAATATTACATTCAACTTAACATCATTTATTATATAAAAAGGTTTCACAACAGTCATGATAGACCAGGGAGAGGAGAATATATGGAGGCGTGATGGCTGCCTGGTGAATGGATTGCTGAGTGCAACTCAAGTCAAAGCAGTTTTCTCTCGTCTAGTCAATGAAGCTGTCAGAGAGCTTGGCAAATCGTAAGTCATGAAAATATAAAAAATGGAAAACAATATAAAGCAACAAAACTTCAAGTATATTTAATGTGGCCACAACATGATCTGATTGTCAGTATAGTCAATTCTGATGTACAATACCAATTATTTTTTAAATTACATCCTTTTTAACTCGGAGATTGCGTTAGCAATCGTAGAGTTATTGGGAGGGGACARGCTGTCACTCGCTCGATCGCTCGCTCGCTCGCTCGATCACTTTCCTGTAAATTTGAGCCTGCGATGTTTTTGTCAGCAGTTATTCATTTAATTATATTAATTTGACTTGTTAATTTTTGAATTATTCATCTCCACGGTCTACCTGTTTCTTTTTTTTTTTCCAAAGAGAAATAAATTTATGTACTCGGTGTGGCTCGAACTCCCGATCTCTCGCTCATTCCCTATACATCGCCTTATGTTCCAGCGCCTTAACCGATTGTGCCACGGTGACACTTTGATGAAACTTGGCGTGTTTTAGTAGTTTTATATAGGGAGCACCGCTGTTCGAGTCCAGCTTGAGACAGGACATTTTTTTCTTTTTGATGTTTGGGAGATTCTCTTTTCTTTTCTCCTTTTTCTAATAATAACAAACATGTTTCTGCATAAAGTTTTGTTTTTAAGAAATTCTTTTAATTTTTGCGATCGTAAATAAAATACGGTTCACCATGATGGGTTTCCTGTGTTATATGCTGTGGATTCAATCGATATTTGCCGACCCATCGCACTACGTTAAAAACCTGGATTCAAGAGGAGAACATTATTGTAAAAAATTGTAAAAATTATATAGTTTGGCGTAGAATTGTACCGATTGCAATAAGTTTTGACTGGGTTTTCGCTTCGAGTACCTGTCAACATGGCGTCTCTGCTAAAATGTAGCTTTCACGGCCTTATAAATAAACTTCAAGCAAATGGACGGTTTCTATTCCGCTTTAGACTTCAAGGTAAGATGATAATGTACAACGCTTAGTAATGGCATACTTAAATCTTAAGTTTATCATATGAATTACAAATCAAATTTTTTTAATTAGGCTGTGTCTACCTGCCCGTGAGTATTCATTGTTTTCAAATAATTAGCTTACGTACCGAGACTAAATCATTAATTTCATCGCTAAACCCAACCCAAACCTTACCCTAAACCTAACCTAGAGCTAACCAAGGACTTTTGTTCAGTAATTCTGTATTTTTTTTTTCGCAAACGGACATTTTGACTTCCACTATTTACACGGCAGCCGGGCATGTAAGTAGACACAGACACTTCGAACTTTATGTCGCCTTTGTTAATTTACATTTAACTTAAGCTGAAGCTTTTCCTTTTATAAATTTCGATGTCTCTCTGAACTAATAAGCTTATATTTTTATCAATAAACCTTAATCCGCTAAACAGTGATTGGAAGAAAAGCACTGGAATAATTCTGCAAAACTGCAAATCAAGAGCTCAAAACAAAGTTATGATATACCAATTCACTTGTTCTTTCAAAACATGAAGGCATTAGCTACTCAAATTTGTCACTAATAACTTATCTTGTTAGTTAAAATACTATTTTTTAATCCAATTTTAAATGTTAAATTGCATTTTTCCCAATATTGTTCTGATCTTATTTTTATGATTTTTTTTTATGATCACCTATTACATGTTTTTGTAAATAAATAACTTATCTACTGTGTTAATAAAATGCTCAAAATACAGCTGACCATCTTGCAAAAGCAGCTCTCACAATCTCCGAGTTATGTTGCCATTGGCAGCTTGATTTTGACTTCAAATGAAACTGATTCTTGGCATTTTTTTTTCTAACTCTGCAATTTCATTTCTTAGTCATACTGTGACAGTCAGAACAAATGGCCCATCTGTAACATTGACAATCAGGAGTCAAGATTTCAGTGGATCCATTGATTTGACACTGGCTATCAAAGATGCTACGTGGCCTGATGATGCAGAAGACTGGAAACATAAACAGAGAAGTAATATTATGAAATTGTGATTCACGTCTTAAGGCATTGCATTTTTTCATGTCATCAGTTATCAACTTTTTTTATTATCAAATTGTTGCTGGAAATTGCTTTACTTCTTAACATCAGTGTGATATCAGTGTGTTTTTCACTGTACTGTAGGTTGGCCAGCAAAGCGTTTGGTCACAGAAATTGTCAATGGTGGTTGTCATTTGGTTGCTAAGAAACCAAAAGGCATAAACAGCAATGATGCACATTTGTTTTGGCGTTATTCATTCTCTCAAGCAGAGAAAAAGCTTTTCACTRRAGGRAGCACAGGAGAGCCTGGGACAAACCGCAAAAAAGTTCTTCGCATTCTCAAGTCTCTAAAAGAAGACTTACAAATGACACCTTTAAAATCCTACCACCTAAAGACCATCATGTTTTAYGAATATGAGGCTTATCCAAGTGACACAGACTGGTTGTCTGACAAACTTGCTGCACGTTTCAAGAGTGCTGTGCAAAGGTTGAWGARMTGTCTTCAGRRGAAGWMCTGTCCYCATTACTTCATTCCTAATCTTAACTTGCTTGATGACAGCAGTTTCAATCCCRAGYGCTATCAGTACTTGATTCAAAKGGTTGGTCAGCTGATAAACAGTCCTTCTCAAGTGATTCATCGATTCATCYAGTTAAGGCACATATAACATTCTTTATGGCATACATAAATAACTTCATGGTGACTGATAAACTTAAGAAGACTGTATTAGGTTAATAAGCATGCACACAATGTAGAAACAGTTTTTTGTCCTTATTAACTAGGAAATGATAGTAAAASAAAAAGGAAGTAAAAAGTAATATAAAGGAAATCTAATCTAAATTTGTCACTTCTAAATAGCATGAAAGACAATGTATGTAATAAAGTTCAAAAATGTAATTGAGACGTGTTTCATTACATTTCTCAACATTGAAAAAGATAACATTTGAAAAAAAGTCTATTTATGTAATGACATATTTATGTAGTCTATTTATGTAATGACATATTTATGTAGTCTCCTCACAGCCGTGTTTTCAAGGTTGCGTTATGTGTGACTGAAACTAAACTCAGCTGCGAGGTCCATTTCATATATTACCAATAGATCAGAAAATCTTCATAAGTTCTGAGCTGTATTTTCTTACTAACACTAACAGTAAACTATCTGTTTTCTTCCCCTCCAATCAAAATAGAATCTATCAGTGTAGTTTCTTGGAATATATGTATGACAGTTCACTTTAGGCTTAGGAAAGACCTTTTCTCTAATCTCATCCATTTCCATTCCTTCCTCTTTGCTTTTTATGACTTTTGTCATGAGTTTCTTCAAGTCTATTGCTGCTTTGGAATGCAGTTTGGAGTCCTTTGTATTCAGGATGTAGTTATCAAAACCACCAGCCTTATCTATCCAGCGCATCGCATGTGTTGTAAAGTTATAAGTAACTGTTTTTTCCAGTACTTCACTGTAGTATTTCTTGCGATGTACATTGGGTTTCCAGGAACGTTTACTCCTGAAATGACAGAAATTATCTTGATGAGTTTGATTACATCATCATCATACTGCAACTAACATTATAAACTGGTGTGTCTTGTAATACCTAGATCTGGCCCTACTGATCCGGCACCAAAACACCATTTCAAGCCATAAAGCCAGTAGTTAAGACATCGCGATCATAACTTATAAACATTAACTTAAACTTAAGCTTACTTTTTTCCAGAGAAAGTTTCCACGTGACCAAACATAATCCCTTTTCCAGCGTAAATACCAGCATGTGCGCGCTTTGGTATTGTTTTGAATAATATAAAACGAAGCCCAAGTTGTACCATGGCTTCTTCCTGTACAATTATTTGGTTAAATCCTTAGAAATTTAGACAAAATCTAACTCAATCATTGACAAATCAGAACTAGATCTCTATTATTTTTGCAAATGGCGGAAAGAGATTACGCGCATGCTTTTAGTAGATACTACCGCTGTACAYAAATCGTTTTATTTTGGCGCGTAACAAATATACCGAAAGGACGAAAGAACACAAGAACGCTTCACAAATACGCATAAAAAGTCAATATTCTCAATATTAACTAAACAAGGACGTTTTATGGAACATCACAATGGCTTCTTCCAGGAGGTCTGCAAGGTAAATAGGTTTTAGATAAAGCGCAATGCTTAATATTCTATTGAAAGTTAGGTTTGATCGAAAGGGCTTCACTTCAAGCTTCACTTTTTAATACACAAAACTGTTCTCCAGAATCAAATAAATTAACGCTGAAAAATTGAATTAAATGTTATCTTTAAACAAATTAAATGAGGCTAAAAGTAATGGGRTATAATTGTGTGTTTTGATGCACTTTTCAGCAGTCTGTGATATGATATTTTTACCTCATTTTGTGAATGAAAGAAGCGATTGTTTTTCAATGTTTTCTAACTSAAACTACATTAAGGTATACTATTTCACTTCCTAGTGATCGAGTATTAAGTTGCTCTTGTGTATCCATTTGTATTCATGTATATATGCAATATTATGTAAGCACTATTTCAAAATATATTATTTTCAAACAGAGAAAATGGTTTCCAAACCTAATTTGCAAGACTGTCAGCTGCTTGTATTGAAACGTATCAACAACAAAATTGACAATAGATCTTGACTATATCATCTTGATATATTCCCATTCCTAGGTTTTTTCTCTATGCATTCCCATATTGTWTATTATCCCTATTGGGTTTTCTATGCTCATGGGATAGTGTTTGATATTATTAGTTCTAGTGCTTTGTGCTGGGGCCTGTTCTTTCAACAGACTGTGCATGGTGTAAAGGTTATTTTATAAACCATTTGATTAACTTATAGATCAAGAAAGCAAGTTGACTATAGCTTGRCTGATCCAGATACACCAGAAGATAGTGATGGTGAGTAGCCATAATATTGTCAGGGGTGGGCTTAGGACAGTGAAAGGGCTCAGGGGTGGGTTGTTACCAATTTATTTATTCCATAGTATTTTAGCCTACGCTTACATGTTTCTAAGCTTGCTTCTCTCRTGTTTTTCAACTCCCATTGTGTTTACATCAGAGGACAGAGGCATGAATACGGTTTTATATTTCTTAACTATTGCATTGATTTTTAACAACTTAATGAGATATCCAGCAGTCTTAAGGAGTTTCATTTCTGTTAGATTTATAATGTAATTTATTTATGATTAATTATTGGTRTGCGGTGATTTCTAGATGACTTTCAAGACTCTCCTAGTGCACCTCCACCAAAGAAAGCCAAGACAACATTGAAACAAAAGACTAAACCAAAACAAGAAGATAAAAAAACAAGCAAAACCAAATCTGAAAAACCYGCTAGAAAAGAAAGACTTTCCCTAGAGGAAAAGTTATACAAACGTGAGCTTGAAGCRGCCATTGAAGCCTCAATCAAGGATTCCCAGTCKAGTGATGATAATGTCATTCAGTTGTCTGATGGTGATTYTCCAGTGAAGAAGAAGACAGAAGATAAGAAAACAAACAAAATAATCACTGATAAAGAGAATCAACCAGATGAAAATAAGGCAGAAGAGCTAAGTGAAGAATCAGAAGAAACAAATCATCAAGAACACAGTGTGCAGTCAAAATCCCCTGCAGAAAGCACAGGACCAGATGACTCTAAAAGTGGTAAGAATTATTTTATAGTAACCTGGATATGATAAACTTCTTGCAATTAATATTCTATTTGTATTAAGTTTCAGATATAAATGATGATGATGATGAATGTGAGGATGATTTCAAGGACGAGGATGCCAGCATGGATGATGATAGTGATTATGAAGAAGAAAAACAGAGAAAAGYCAAAAAAGGAAAAAGAGAAAAAACACCTCGACAAAAAGTAGGAATAAAGCCCAGAACTAGTGTTACAGGTACATGTATTACATGTATGTGAAGGATCTTGAGCTCAGGAAATGTTGGATGAAAAGATACAGATGTATATAACGTAGCATTTTGCATGATATACAACGTATTATGTACTTGTATATGGCAGGTCCCTAGCACACTATACGTAAAATGAGAATGTCTCTTGTATTTGATAGTCATGGTTAAGGAACAATCAATGATATCAATGATAAATTAATGAATCAGTTTTTTTATTGTAGATTATTAATGCAGATGGGCTTGTTTTGTAGTGACGCCAATAAAGATGTTAAAAGCTCAAGCAAGAAAGAACAGTTCATCCAAAGGAAGCAAYAAATCGGTGTCATCACTTGACTCTAGCTCTGCTTCTAACTCACCACTAAGTAAGTCATTGTAAGGCTGTTAACTTTATCATTATTTAAGCATTCTTTCACCCAGTTACTRTAGTAGGACATTGAATCAGGGTCGGTCTATTAATTTGACCTGCTTTGAATCATAAAGATTTACTCTAAAATTAGTATTATAACCTTCATTAAACTCACTATTGTAAAAAAGTAAACATTCCATCATTGTAAACTATAAGATTCTTGTTATTATACAACATTGTTAAATTTCTTCGTTTGATCTGCTTGCAGGTTTTTTCTGAACCTTGATACCTTGCAGGTAACAATAACTTTAATATTTTTTACYACTGATTAATATTAATATTGTCAAAAAGTTCACATTATAAAACTCATGTTATGAAGTCATCAAACTTCACCATAAAATAATAATTTTCAGTTTCATCAAATAACATAAACTATGATACCAATGCTGCATTAATGCACCCCATTAAAAATGTATTTTGAGTTTCTGCAAATAAAATAAATTATAATCCATWATCCCATTTATGCACATATAAATTTATTTTCTGCAAATAAAAGATATGATACCATAATCTCATTAGGCAAGAAGTTCTGTTAACTATGTACTAAATCAACATGTGAGGAGTACAGATAGTGAGAGTACAAGTTCATTTGGTGGAGCTATGCTCTGTTAGGTAACCTGTCCTCCAACCATAACTCTGTAAATGATCAATAAAACTAAATCGTAATGTTGTCACCTTGAAGATGCCCACTTCAATCAAAAGCTTGGGCAAATAAAGTTAAAATTGTGTGGGTTGGTGTAAAGAATCTGCAAAATTTACTCACTAAATGTTGCATTTACTGTGAACTAATAAATTCAGGAGAAAATAGGACAATCCTGTGTTGCAAACATAAGTTGAGTCATCSCTTACTGACTTGATTTTTATTTATATTTGTCCCAGTTTCCGCATCAAGAAACATTCTAACTACGTCATCGAATTTTCTCACAACKTCAAACATCAAAAAAAGTCCTGGACTCAGTCTAAACTCAAGCTTAAAGATACAGRCATCAGGAACAYTGAGACTTGGTTTATCAAGAAATATGCGTGTTAAACCACTTCTATCAAAAGTACCCAATACACAACACTAGATGAAAGAAACACAGTTTCAACTATAAATATAACTTCCATCAAAAAAATCTCATTACAACATGTGCAACACTAATAATAGCTAATAATAGCTAAAAATTGTGTTGTACATCGCAATGGATCGGTATCAAGAAATTGAGGTCACAGAAATTCACATCAAGAAGACAAGGGTACAAAGTGCTGGCATGCACAGGTTTTTWAAATAGTCTTATCCTGGATAGGAATGGTAGTCAACTGAAAGTGGATGCATGCTCCAAGTATTTTGCCATGAATATTTAAACCATAACTACAATTTATTATCATTGATYTATACAACAAATATATGACAGTTTTATTTCTCAAATATTTTACTATTTTAAGCCTCGGAAACTACAGAACGATTGTAAAAACTCTTCCTTTAGTGTAATACATGCACCAYATAACCAGTAAGATTCACTGGAGCCAATTTTGAATTGGAAATGATGTACAGTGACTGGAATGTCCAGTGAATTCATACTATGCCTGGACAAAGTGTATAATATTTATCTATTCATAATATCACAAGCTGCTTCATTGCTTCAAGCTGCTGAACTCATTGTATCAAAACAAAACAATTTATACCAAATATAATGAATATACATCCTTTTACGATTAAAACTATGATTGTGGTTTCTTGCAAAATGATGTTCAATCTTGTTCWCATGTCATTGTAAAGCAAAGTAAACGTAAAGCAGGGTTACCCCAGGAGGTCAACTAGTGTAAACTGGAAAAGAATATTACTATGACCATTATATATACAACATTCAACTAAAACGTCTAGTAAGTAGCATAACAAAGGTATGGTGTAGTAAGCAGTTATGGGAGTCTACAAAGTTCAAAGTGTTTTAAAATTGCTGGTTAGCTTATCCTGGATTGATAGAAATAGTACTGAAATGTCCCGTGTGTCCCTCCCACCTAATCACCTCATGGGGAAAATATTGTTCAATGATCTATTTTAGAAAGAATTCTTTAATAAGAAATAAACACATCAGCAGCAATTCTGCCAAGCAAATATGTACTGATAACAGAAGTATGTATATCACTAATTACATGTACACTACCAGACATAATTATAGTAGATATAATACATTTTCTCATCCTAATTCATATTTCAACWATACTAAATTTATTGAAATTGAGATGGCAAGTGGCTGAGGTTACAMTATCTTTTGTTGATTGGCTTGTATTATTTTTTATAGCATCTCAAGACTATAATCCTATTGCAAGCAAAGTTTGAACTTCTTTTGAACCAGGATGTGCATCAAAATGCAATAAAGTGAAATAAAAAACTTAAAAAACAGCCTGAGAGCTGCCACTGTAGTGCACATCAAATATCTGATGTACAACTGCTAGTATTATTCACGCAAATACTTCACGTAACTCAGAATCCACTCAGGCATAAAGACTGAAATACAAAGGCAGACATATTTTAGCACTTGTGGTTTCAGTGTTCTGGTTCATTGTTCTAAGTGGAACAATTWGGTACATTGTAAAGTGATTTTCCATCAACCGTGAAGAGAAACATGATAGTTCTAGACATTTTTTATATTCAAAAGGAACGTACTAGTGCGTTGTGTTATTGAGTATAATCTGTGAAATAGGCCATGCTTTGACATTTTTTTTAACAKAAGAATTACACACTGATGATTATTAGCATTTTTACCCTATTCTTTCATGGTGGACAGAAAATCACTTCAGTTTGATTTTCCAAATGGCATGCACTCTTATTCTAATATCTCTTTATCCAGAGCATTTTGTATTATGATATATTGATGCATTTATCATGATTTGTTTCATAATCTTGACAAAGATTAGAAAAGACTCTGGTTTAAACATGCCAGCATATGCAAGCAAAAGTCTACATATTGTAAAAAAGTATTGCAAACATTTCAAAAGACTATAACAACAATGAAATATTTCCTACATTCAGATGGCAAATTCGTGTAAAAGTTGAAAAAGAAATACTGCTCAAAGCTAATAATTCAAGCATATACTTGAGTTTCCTTTCAGCAATAATTTAAAGCTAACRACTGAGTTGTAAACCAAGGTGTCTTGAAAAACTCAGTTTCATTGCGCTTGATATGGAGGCAATGCAAATAATGGTGGCTCGCAATAGCACATCTAACCTTACTGCCTTAATTTACTATTTATTTCTTTATTAATTTTTATATATTTCACATTTTACATGACAATAAAAAGCCTTATTTTAAGCAATATTTTTTATATTTTTACAGCTAAAACCACCCAACACTAATCAAGGTCTTGRTTATCTTCTGTTCCAGATATAGACAATAGCTAGCACTGTGACACAAGTTGCTAATACAAACTTGAATTCCAACTCATGTCGATTCTTTAGGTTTGCAAAGTAATCCATGATAGCTTCCTGTAAAATATAAAATATTTGATGCCTTATTATCAAATGTTGATGCAGTTTAAATTAACAAAACTCAATGAAAAGGCTCTAGGGTTTTTTTCTGGGAGCAGTGAGGTCACAAGGAAAGAATCACTACAAAAATCATGGCTGCACAAGCTACTGAAATATGTGATCTAGCTCACAGGAAGGGGTGGGTGCACCTGTCGGCCCACCCTGGCTGAACAGCATAAGATCATCACATGAGCATTTGTGTCCTGACTATTATACCTTGACCACCAGGTTATAATTCTTACTTACCCATCCCCCCTGTTCTACAATCCAATTCACCAGTTTCTCTTTGATGAACTTAACTACCCATTCAATGATCATCTTAATCAAAGGAACTTGTGTTAAAACTTGAATAGCAAGCTTGTAACCAAAATAGAATAACGTTACAATCCTTCCCCAGTTGACGTTACCATCCTGGAATATCTGCATGGCAACATTCAGAAATGTTTCAAATGCAGTGTCTTTTGTTACATTACACTCTGATATTAACTGGTTAAGTGTAGAGTGCTGATGTAGACTGTCTCCAATATCCCTCAGTACGTGGGCCACTTGTTTGTTGACTTGTCTTTGCTCTGGCGTGAGTTCTGCAGGCACTTCTAAGCCATCTTGTTCAAAACATACTGCTAAGAAGGATTTTACTATTTCTGGTGCTTGTCCAGATACATCCTCAACGCTGGCCGACCTTCTGTAGCTTGGCCGATCATTATCTTTGTCATCACGGCCTGTTCCTCCTGGTGCCATGACGACCTGTAAAACTGAAATTGAACATGACTTATTATTATTATTATCATTATTTGGAAATATGAATCATGACAACATTGTGATTAATATCAATAGGGCTTTTANATAGAGGTTTGGAAGCATCAGAAACCATCCTTGTATCGTCGACATCGTGAAACAACTTTTGGAATGCACTGCCGCGAACGAGTGAACGTCATTCCCGCGCTTTACCCAACATGCACTTCGTTTTATTATTGGAATAATCCAATCAGGAATCGAGGTTCAAATCGACGTCAGATTTGAAATTTACATTGTCGGTTTTGTTTTTGCACGTTTAAATATAAATTTGGAACCAAATTTGGAATAATAAATCGAGCCTTCCAACCTCGATAGGAACGCTTCAGTAGGTTTGGCTGTAAATCATGTTTATTGCAAACAAATAGTCAAAATACATTTGATTGATTGATTGAAACTTTGATTGAAAGTTGAAGCAACACCCAAAGTCCTAACAAACTTCAATGTGATTTTAAAATCAAAACTATAAAGAGCAACAAGACAAAATTATTGTGATTTCATTAAAAAGATCATGTTATCAGCCAAATATTTCACAGCATACCGATAGATTTTKAAGTATGAAATCCTTGATTGCTTACAAAAAGACTTTGTTTGCAACTAGATCATAGTATGACTCATAAGCAGGTGATTCAAGAGTGTTGACAAGTCACCAGGGGAATCCCCTGGCATAACAGAATCACTACAGGATGGTATGCTTAATTCATAAAACCATGAGGAACCCAGCAGCAAAAGGGTCACCACAGTGCAAAACTCCTTGTTTTCACAATGTAAGATTAACCTGTACAACTGTGTCTTAACAGAATATATTGATGGTACACTTCCTGGATTAGGCAACATGCTTTTACTATATATTCAAGTGAATATGCTTGAGTAAGTGTTATAATAAAAGAGTTTGTAAATAAACAAAGCTTACAAAGACCACAAGATGTAAACAGAGAGCCCTTTGTTATAAAAATTACAAGCTCATCATTTTTGATTGACATACTTTAGGAGGAAATGGAAATAAAGAAAGTAAAAATAAGCCAAGCATGGTAAAACGGTACAAGAAACAACAACACTGTGTTGATTCTACAAAATGAGCAAGAAAGACAAACCCTTGTTTTCTTTGAACAGGTTGTAACTTTGTCTATAAATCAACAACAAAGATGGCAAAAAACATTGTTTGCTAATAATACCAGCCAAAACTAAATGATGATACAAAAGTTCTAAAAAAAACGAGATGAAACAAAATAGGCTTTGATGACAACTAAAAGAAACATAAAAAATATGAATCAAAAAGACTTCAATTTTATCCCGTAAAATTAGAACTTATGAAGCTCTCAATATACAGTTTGCTTTCATGTCTGTACATTACAATGAAATTGATAAAACACAGAAATAGTTCGAAAATATTACTGAAGTATCTTACGATATGTTACTGCACAAATTTTTTCAATAGTAATTATATTTCTCCAACAAACGACTTGTACAGTAGCTTGCAAGTGCTGTATATGACAAAAGAGCTTAAGTCATATTCAGCTAACGAAACACATAGCTTAAGCAAGCAAAAATATTCAGTTTCTTACTAACATATAGAAACTGGTAACAATAGCAATACCCATCATATCATTAAAAATAAAGCCTAGGGAAATCAGAAATTATTAGAAAAAAATACTCAAACGTTTGCATACCCCTGACATCGTGCACCGTTTTTACCAAAGACGAASCTTTCGACACAAGCCACGAAATCCAGAGTATAAAATCTAAAAACGTCTGCTTAGTGTATGTTTTTCCACTATGTCTTATAAAGTGTAGGCTTTGTTATGCAAGAAATACGCTTTGTGAATCTAGAACCAGCACGATCTCTTTCATGTCGCTGTAAGTAATATTGATATCAAATGGTTTTTTCTCACCTTTAAATGCCTAGACAATAGCAGTAACAAGATTTACAAGGGCAAGAAATTCTTCGGAATATTGTCAGCGATATCTGTGACTTAAACAATGATATAAACCTCTAGAAATGACCGTCTAAAACCGACACTTCAAATATCTTTCACAGCAATGGCGGAATGAGTAGAGGATGGAWGAYTCTTATAAGAAAGTTGCTGGATTCTGATTGGCTCAGCTGATAACTGTATACACACTTTTGTCTATTCGTGCCTCTGATTGGTTAAAAACTAAAGACAGCTCATAATAATGACGTAACCTCAGAGAGTCCCGCCAACTTCAAAACAACGCATTCTTTCTCGGATAAATATATATTATTGTTAAAGAAYACATTTGTGAAAAAGTGCCCTAAATAATTTTTACATCMGTCACAAGAAGTAGCAAATTAATTTTATTGATCAAGTGTTCTCGAGCACATAATCAGCACGTGTAGAATGTATGGCGAAAACGACGCTAATTGGCAACGGACAAGCCCTGGCATGAATTTCTAGACTGTTTAAATTATAGCGATYCTTTTGTCTTGAGATAAAATACATTAYCAATATTCATCTTGATAGGATGATCACGATCTCGAAATAATGACAAAACCGAAACTTTATCAAAAATTTCTTTAGGTGAAAATATAATTACCGAACTAAAAACTTGTGAGCAGTTTTAATGAAAAATAGGTATAGAGAAGAAAATGCTTAAAGTAAACTTGTAAATTCAGATAAATCACCGATCAGATATTATGTCCGTCTCCTCGGTCTGATGKTTATTCTTTTTGGAGAATTCTATTTTTTGGAGAAAAAAGAATTATTTCCAGGGGGACTGTTTAGATCGAATTCTCTCCCTAAACTCCTACGTATAGGAAGAGCTATTGAAATAGCTTTTTTTCAGTTTTGTGTCAATCACTGAGTGAACAACAAACATTCTTCTTCGAAAACATGACGCGGAGCTACTGGGACAATCAAACAATCTTAGTACATTCACTACACTTCACTTCCGATACRGCCCTGTTTTTCTTTCACATATTCCACATCCATTCATTCTATTTCTTTTGAATTGCCTCCATTTTCCTTCCTTTTATTTATTTATTCATTATTTCTTTCTCTCTTATTTTCAGTCAATCTATATTCTTTACTCRTAATTTCTTTCTTTCATTCAGTCTTTCATTTTCTCACGTCTTCTCTTCTTGCTTGCTGTCAGTCTAACATGCCATCTGCTCATGTGACTAATAATTAAGTAATGACGCTCGTATAATCGTCAGTGAATTGAAGTGTTTAATTTGTTTGTTTTTACACTGGAGTGACGAGTGTAGACTTTGTATACCAATATAGTGCAAAGGGGTATCCCCTTCATTGGTACATCTAGATCGCGATGACATCATGACTKCGTMATGAAATCAGTGACGTCAGGTCATCCGATCCTTAGCTTGGAGTTCATAATTACAAAAAATGTTATATTCGCCCACACATGGATGTCAGTTTCCTAAGTGTTTATGTTATTTACTAATTCAAATTATTCAAATGTAACATGTTTTTCTTAGGCATCATGCGGTTTTTTCATAAGAAATCTCTACCGTCGATTACTTTTTTGTTAACCATACCAAGCTAACAAAAATTAGCGAATGGCGTCGTCTCACGTCAACAAATTAATATCAGTGGGAATTCCCCTATAATATTTAGTACGATTACTGCAATTACTCCTGTGTCGAACCATCGATCCATTGCTTACGTAAATCGCAACGTAGATCTCACACGTTTCTCAAGGAAAATCGAAAAGTCAGCAAATTCAGTTCTTTTTAGCAATAATGTAATGATCTTGTAAATGACTTGTTGTTCACTTCAATTCTTTGCTTACAGACGTGGATCCGCAGCTCGAGAGTAATTGATGCCATTGGTCGTTCAGCTCCTGGTGCTCGCTATATAGCTAGTTTAGTACAGATGCATTTTACAACTTTTGTTTTCAAATGAGAAACAGTTGTGTAAAAAGACAACTTTACTTTTGAGTTGTTTCACATACTTTTTTACGGTRTTAAAGTTATTATCTTAAGTAAAGTAAGCTCCAGAGCAGAGATTCGATGAACGCATACTCCGAAATACGCTAATTTTACACAAAATAAAAAAGACCCGTACATCCAKACATCAATACACGGATAATTTACATGAAGGTAACAAACTTCTGTCCTGACAAGGCTACTGCACAACAGAAGGAGGAAGGTAAGGATCCTCACACCGCGCCTTCACATATATGGGCTATAGGCCATCGTGTCAACCTAGTAATGCAGAGGATATATGCTAGAGAACTATGCAGATTACAACACTAATGTAATATCTCTTTTTTACTGTAAAAATTACAACCAGAATGCGAAAAGGAAATTAAACTCAATATCAGGGTGTGTCCGTCCCTTAATAGACAGCACAGGAAATAGCGTGGTTAGGGTTTATTTATGTTCACATCAAAGAAATGTTTCGTTTACAATCGAATTGGGTTCTGAATGAGGTTAAGTGACAGAAATAATAATAGATGACAACTGATCATGACAGATAGCTAAGCAGTTGACTTGGACTCAGTCAGTAGCTTGTTTCAGATGACTTAAATTCTGGTCGGCTTCCTCGTTCGAAAACCATATATAATGCCATGGGGTTCTAGCTGCAGCTTTATAAAAACACACAAAAAATGTGAAAACATAGAAAACATTGATTTAAACTTAACTAACGTCAGGCCGRCTTCATCTAGATCCTTTGGACAGGYAAGTTTGGCGTAATGTTGTGATGATCTCGACCACGGTCAACTGATGATGATGATGAGAGTTCTGGAGTGGAATATATTAGCGCATCGCACRTACCCTGGATTTCTCGGTTYCCTAAAAACTCYAATGTATCACAATAATATCTTTTTCATAATTACACGCTGTTACAATCAAAACAGTCAGCSCGCTGCATGCTGTGTTCACGCACTGTTGGGCTTCCTGTGTGTGACATAGGTGTGGTTGGCAACCTACATAATTRCGGTCGTGACAWCACAGTGAAAAATGTTTTGATGTCCAACAATATTAGTTTGTTCTGTATTYGTCAAAAGGAAACGCGACAGTTCAAAGGCGGCCAGCAGTGATTGTGTTGTACAGTGAAAGCATTGTGACCGGTTTTAATATCGGTTTCAACATCAAAATAAAAACTTGTTGAATTAMCTCGTTCAGATTCATTATAAAAAGAAAAACAAATTTTAAATTTATTACTAGTATCAAGAACTATGGAAATCATGTACGATTTTCATACCATTGCAGTTTACGTCGTATTTAGATCGAGACCATTCAGAGAACATATTTTTGTTGTCTTTGAATACAAAACACTGTGATTTGCATTAATAGAATTCTATTCTTTGACATTATTGTCCTCTAATCATGGATAATACAAAGAATAGGCCTCTGGGAACCTGAGCATTCCTACAAGAACATATTAGAATATCCAATCAGCCAATCACATGCGAGGATTTACAAATCTACTTTAATTATTCACTCAGAAAGCGTCACTCCTTTCGCTTAGCTACAAACTACCTGAAACTCTCTTCTACATCTCTGTGAGACCTTCAAAGCATAAGAAGAATATAAAACAAGTTTAACTGCAACATCATGAGTGACGGTAAGTATTTATTTTTTTTGGAAGTTTGATCAAATGTTCTTTTGCTAACTTGATGGAACTTTTAATCGCCATATAATAGATCACATACTTATTGACCTACATGATAGCAAAATAAGGTCACTTTATAGAGATCTATATCTTCATTTTGCTGATAAACCTGTCAAATATTGATGAGTGCTCGAATATCCCAAGTGAGCAAGTTTGAAACGAGATTTTATTAAGTTTATTGTTAGTTTATTCGAGCTCAGCTACTGGGATGGTTCAATAGCTATTTAAACAGTGAACATTTTTATGCATAAAGTTGAAAGCATTAGCAGTAATCCACTTCAGATTCAGCTAAGGGGTTGCCTCTTTGTAGATTCGAGTGATGCTTTGAGGAGGAGAAGAGAAAGACGCGAGAGAATGGCCAGAGATATGGAAGATTCAAAGAATGACGAGGTAATAATTAATATGCATAGTTTATCATGTCAAACATCCATAATATTATAAACAATGTCCTTGATAGTAACATCATGTTAACTCCATTACATATTAATACAAACCCTAACCGATGTACGAATTCTTTATGCAATTATTTGTTAATTGGAACAATTAAGAATGTTATAGCGAGCATTTAAATGGTTTCCTTGCATTCTGTGGGATTATACGGTTTGTGATTACAATCTAATAATTGACCGGTGTATTAAATTGCTCTTCCATGCCTCAGAATCTTAAATCAACAGCAAATTAGTAAATAATGATAATAATTAATAATATATTACATAAATTGTTTAAATAGTTTAGGAGGTCAGCGCAAATCCAACATTAGCTCCCATCTATCATTAGCAGTTTCTTTTGTTTTGTCCTTAACCTATTGTTAGATGGCTATGTTTAATAATGGGCCTTGGTAAATGCAGCCTTTTCACTCATAATCAACACATGTTGCCATTGATATTCTTTATGCTCAGCAAATTCCCTGATTGAAGGGTTAAATTACTTTCTGAACTTCTTTTTATAAGCAAATCAAACTATTAAATGAGAGGTACAAAATCATGTAAAAATCTAATGTGCTATGCCATAATGATTAATATTATTATGATAGATAATGAATAAGTTTAATAAATAGATTCCYTATATAGCAATACTCTCCATGTGAGGTAAACTCTCCTTATAAGGCATTGCTACCATATAAGGCTATACACACCATATAAGGAACTTTTTGTATACATAATAATCAATCAGGAACAATTATTGGTCATTATGTTTACATGTAACCATGAAAGATTTGCCAAATTAATAGCAAGTTGGTAGTGAACTTTGAATCTAAAGTTTGTTGTCATTCTTTGCAAGCAAGGATAAGCGATTTAGTGGTCTTCTTCCTGGAAATCCCTGTAGTAGAGATAGAGTAGGTTATGTCTTAAGATGCAAAATTGAAACATGAACTAATACATAAGTGTGCTCATTACATGATGATTAAAAGACCCTCAGGGTACAATTATCTCCCCTGTCTACCCCGCACAGCAGGACAGTGTATTGTATATTCATAGTATTTGAAATATTATCAGACTTTCTAGACCATTCTAATCCTTTTTTATACAACTAGATATATTGTCCCAGCTAAAATGTTATATAAAAAGGAACACAAAAACAGAGCAGCAATATTTGTAGTGACAAGATTTCAAAAAGGATAATAGAATACACATTCACTGGCTCATTGTTGTCACATTGACTGAGCTTAAGGTATTTTCATCATGAAAATAAACAATGATCAAAACCTGATGATGCTAAATTTCTTGTATTGGGTTACCTGTGTTGAAGGATTTAAATTTGCCGCAAAATATGTTGTTTTTCAGATAAAGATTTTCCTACTCCAWAAACTCTGATAATYGTCATTTCTATACATTTTGTGAAAACTCCTGCAAAGATAATCGTCTAGTAACTGTCGGACAGGTTGAAGAGCTCTCAACACACAATATGTTAGATTTGTGAAAATATTGTTATTACATTCTTTCTAACAGAATCTTGATTTCTSAAACATAACGCAAATTTGTTTTTCCGATCGACTTCTGTCGAATCTGTAAGTCAGAGGAAGTATTATGTGTAYGTTTGATTGTTTKTAAGCTGAAAAGTCGTTGAATGTATCTCCTTGAACTCACCTCAACAACAAACTTCTTTTCAATCTTTCTAGCTACAAATATTAGTAATATTCTAAAGTAAAAACCTAGTGTTGTTCACCCCATAGTCATAGAACTTTGCCAGGCTGTAGTTTAACTTGTGTTGTGTTACACATAYGTATTTTGCCTTGAGGTGTCAAATGACAGATTGTAATTTGAGTTTCATAAACCTGTCGGTGTTCGACAGACCACATACCTATCAATGCGTTGTACAAATGGACCCTCACAGGACAACATCACAACACGAAGGTAGCTACTTTATAAAGAATTGACTGTGATTTACCAAACAGATTCCATGAATAACATTAGAGATGTCATTTATAACTGAATTCAAAGAATAAACAAATGTAAGATGCCCTAAAGCTTGATTGACAAGTAGAAGAGTTCTCCGAGAGCCTGGGTAATAATCACCCCTAGCAAAAGCATGCTCCGCATACCGAAGGGCTTCAAGAGTAGGCTTTGCTCGCAGGGTTAGTTCTCTCTTCTCCTTTACTGTCTGCAGTAAACCTTCTTTCTCTTGYATCAAGGAGTCCAAAGCCGTCCTTCTCAGCCTTACAACCAACTTTCTTCAACTTAGGATAATTAATAATGGGAGACGTGAGTATTTAAGAACGATTATAATATTATTATTATTGGTGTTCCCCATCCTGTCCTTTCACACACCCCATCAGGGAAGTCATGTCTGTTGATTCGTTCTGTGACTATGTTCGTAGTGAACGGGTTCTTCGTTGCTGTGTGAATTTCTCCATTCGAATGCTCATTTGCTAAGTTAATGTCAACTCGTTCTGTCGTTACCAGAGATGCGTCCGGCTGACTTGAAACATGTTCCAGAACTGCAGTACGTTGTAGTAAGGGGGCATAGTAGTACCTTTCCCAGCTGTATTGCAGTCTTGAATTACTGCACACATAAAGCTGTTCTCTAGAATCTTTCTTTGCTAATGACCTCACTCGATCTCGTTCAGACACTTTGTTGGCTTCTCTGGATCAGTTTGTTGTTGTCATGTTTTTATAGTATTTTATTATTCAGCCATGCAGCCATTTTGTTTGCCAATCGTTGTTTTCGTTGAAGGYTTTTGATTAAGAATATGTTTTGTTTGCCCGTGTAGTGTTTTCCAGCTCTGTTATTTTATGTACATGTATTCATTTGGCAAAATTTCATTTGTTAATTGAAACAATTGCACTTGAATGGCTTCCTTGAATTTCATCACGATATATTCTTGAGCGTAGAGATGACATTTTTTTTCTAGTGCTGAGCATTGCTATGTAATTATATAAATGAGGTTTTGATCGGTGTTATAATTTATTAAATGAATGTTTGCATGTCTGTTATGTAAATATAACTCGACTAAGAGACGTTATTTATTCTATAGAGACGCATAGAAAGTCTTTCTAGCGTAGTGTACTGGTTTTTCTGGGTCGATTAGTGCACCGTACTATATATGGACATAATATCAATTTGCTAGACCGTTTGCCTAGTGTTGCTGGCCTCAAGGGTCAACACTCCACCCTTGTACGGCGGCGAATTCCACTCATAACTTTATCTTTTCACGCTTTTATATAACATTGATTCTCTTCCTAATATCTTTGTTTGTGTCTCGGTCTTTGCTCTAACCTTTCTAGGTTGTATGGCTTTAAATCTGTAGATTTTGTCAAGCTATTCATTATAATTTATCGGTCTACTAATTTCGTGTATTATCATATTTCGCTCAGGGACTTTAAAGATTGTCTGACATCCACTACAGCTCTAAGAAAAATCCTCTCAATAATTTAATATAATTTACACTAATCGTGAAAATCATMGTAATATCCGCCTATAGTTTCAGCTCGGTTATGATTGCAATATCAAAGGTATTCACAACCAGATTYTATGTACAGTTTCAGTGCTCCGCATGTTGTTCGCAATGCGTGACATTTTGATGTGTGATAATCCTTAATTGACTCTCTTGCAATCGATCATGTCATTCTTTACACCAAGAATTTAGTAATTGAATCTCCAGGAATGACTAGAATTGTTGTACAGAATATGAAAAATAGGAATGATTGTAATGTGATGTTAATAGTAAACTACGACCTCTTGTCTGGTAAAAATCCCGTACTTGCTATAAAAGTACAAAATGCAAATAAACCATGGTCTAATATAACGCATATTTTGCGAACGTCGATRTCTGGCAGAAAAAAAATTATTATTGAAATTCCAGTCCATAGGTAAACGAAAGTTTTTTTTWAAAAAAATATTACCAGAAGAAGCCAGTGTTTTTAATGACATCTAACAATATTTATCAAGTGTTTAGTGGTGCAYCTCATTCGACCAATACAATGTGTGTCAATATGTTCATGGGTCAATCATTGCGTTGATACTGTGTAAGCTTGCGTAACGTCATTCATCACGGCGTTCGTCAATATCAGGTGTCAATATCAYACAATCTCGWGTCCTCCATGTTGTATTCAATGTTGTACGCTGTATTGYGGCCAGCGTTGCATATGTAGACGATTTTTTACCATCAAATCCAAGTTAGCAGTGACTATGAAGCCATTCCATGTCGATCAGGTCAGCAACGAACACTGAAAGACGATTAACCTCCCWTCGGGGCGAGGCTTCACCTCCATGGCCATTCGATTCTTGCTATGAATTCAACGTTAACAAGTTAAACAAACTTTATTATTATGGGTACCTTCTACGTTAGATCAGTAACAACAAGGAGTAATTCGGTCAACTCGACTAAGTAAACGTTCAAGACGTCTGAATACACAAATTTCTTTCAAGTCTTTTGGTCACGTAACGGCTGATGTCACGGTTTTGTTTGGTTATGATGACATAAGATTTGCTGTATTTTTGTATTTGTTTGTTTGTGCATATATATATTTATTTATTTGTTGTTTCCAGGACGACGCCGCTGCCCGACGAGAACAGAGACGAAAAGAAAGAGAAGCTCGCAGAAAGGAACGTGAAAGCGAGGCTGCTGCAGACGAGGAATCCGCTCGATCGCGCCGTCGTCGAAAAGAAGGTAAGGATTGTTACCTGCAGTGACATTAAGGCATGTAGCATTGGGATGTCTCGATAAACGGGTGTTACCAGAGCCACCAATCAGGAGATCATGGAGCTGCGGGTACGAGATGCATTGACATCGGATGGGCAATTTATGTCGATGTAAACGACAACTTTCATATCGCTTCAATCGAAGATGTTAGAGAACCCTGTCGACCAGTATGAGACTATTGTAATAGGGATACTATAGGTATATGAGCATTGTACTGAGGTTTCTCCTGGCAGTTGAAAAAAGAATTTCCAACTTAATTTTAGCATTCATACTTGCTGTAATGTTGTGTTTCGTTGTGGTACACGTCACTACGATATTGCGTTACTTATATGTCACGATAATACMGCGTTACTCATATGTCACGATAATATTGCGTGAGGTATGTCACGGTAATATGCTGCGTTACTATACGATAATAATAACGCTAATGAACACTAATATTTGATAATAGAGAGAGAAGAGGAGTCGTCACGCAGCTCAGGAAAAGGTATTCTTTCATTCCTTTATACGCCTTTAGTCACACATTCTTTAGCAATAGTGTAACGTCTTAGTAAGCTCTGCTTCCATGRAGTGATTCAACTCCAAAAAAGTATCAATGAATCCTACGCATCCAATTTCTATTCCCATTCATATCAATTTTTCAATTCTCATCTATTTTCTATCCATGCATATTAACCATTCATAAATGCAGATACGGACTACACTGACAGCGCTTCAGCACGTCGTCGCCGCGAAAGAGGTATTCAGTTTGCTCTCGTTATACGTACCGTCTGCACGTACCTAAAATCACCTTACGTACTTTGCCTACCTAGCACCTTACGTGCAATTACTTAACGTTAAAAACCCTTGCACACTAACGTGTCTTTGCGTTTTTGTATTGTTCTCAAAACCGTTGATCGACAGTACTGAAACGACCAGTATACAGCCGAACGTACGACCATGTATAAATAAATCATTGTATAACATGTCTCATACTGAAACGACCAGTATACAGCCGAACGTACGACCATGTATAAATAAATCATTGTATAACATGTCTCATCATTCACACAGAGAGAGAAGAGCAAGAGCAAGCCGAGCGCCGACGTCAAGGTATCCACACGAACATACTTGTTCATTAATCGATATATAATCGTTATCTAATCGATGTATAACCGGTATCTAATCGATGTCGGGTAGTTCACATAACAATGATGTCAATCTTTCATCGTTCAGTTGTTACGCAACATAAAGACCATTTATCATTTGTACTCATCCTTACGTGTCCTTTACGTAGAACAAGAAGAAGAGGAACGACGAGAGCGCGAACGTCGCGACCGAGGTACTCACTTCGTCCATTTGTTCATTTTTCCGTATGTATTAATACTCTACGTTAACGTAAACGTAGAACAAATCATGTCATAACCGTAATGGTAATTAGTTTATTACTAATCTGCTATTGATAGTCGTAGTTGTACGTAATAGTACGTAGTGACACGTAGTGATACGTAGTGACACGTACTGGTACGACAGCGGTGACGTAGAGAATCCATCTCATAAGTAATTTCGTTTAATTTCTAACAGAGGAGCGCGAGGCTGAGGAACGYCGTCAAAAAGGTATACACTGCTTACGATACGTACGCATTTTTTTACGTACTTTTCACGTGATCAGCGCCGTAATAAACAAGTAATACAATTTACTTATAAATTCCTTCATTTTACCGTCCAACCATTCCACAGAGGAAGAAGAGAGAGCTGAGAGGCGCAGACGAGAGAAAGGTACCATATCATTCTTTCATTTTCGTAACTAATCCGTGGTTTCTCCACACGTAAATACTTAAAATACATATACGTAGCATGTTATACGTAGCATGTTTAACCTACGTACGTATTGTACTCATGCACGCGGCATTATTCCACAGAGGAGGAAGAGAGAGCCGAAAGGCGCAGACGAGAGAAAGGTACCACGTCATTCTTTAATATCCGTCTTTAATATACTACGTTACGCCTAACAAGTACTAGATATATGTAGCATGTTAAACCAGCGTACGTGTTGTACTCATGCATGCGACTCTACTGATTCCACAGAGGAAGAAGAGAGAGCCGAAAGGCGCAGGCGAGAGAAAGGTATCGTGTCATTTACGTAACAAAGCCGTAGATTCTCCATATACATGAATAAACACTTTTTTCATTTATGTACACGCGTCGTACTTACGTAAACGTCGTTTCATTGTACTCAACTAATTCAACTAATGATTCATACAGAACGAGATGCATCTGACAGACGCAGACGTGGCAAAGGTAAATTAACTATACGTATCATACGCTATCGTGACTGTAATGAAGAATTCTTCACGTTACAGTATTACTTTTTGTTACAACTGTGACTACATCATGCGRTTGGGTACGTTAACGTTAACTTGAAGCAAAAACGTGTGACATGCGTGAGGGGCGGATCCGTGATTTCTTCGCGTTGTGATGTACTAGACCAATAAGGTTGTACAATCCAAGAAAAGTCCTTCCTTCAATTGATCGATCAACCATTAAGGATATGACAGTTGTAGAGCATTTCATTTATTCAATTACTTACTTCCAATCGAAATCCCGTCAATACGTGCACTGTCCAAATTAAAAATKTTTGTTGRTAGATAATCTCCCTRTCAAATCGGTTACGTAGCTAAGCTGCGGATTATCTAGCACGTATTGTAAGGTACACTTTGGAGTCAACTAATCTCGCTAATACTTTGATAACAGAAAGAGAAGACGATTATTACAGCTCTCGACGCGGTTATAGAGGTATATACGTGTGGGAAATATCCATGACGTCACTGAGTGAATAATATTAAAACTAACACGCACGTACGATGACCCTTAATGAGTGAATACAATAATACCAACCTAAACATTAAATAATTATTACGATCCACTATTCACGTTAAAGCACAACTACAAACAAAGTGTGCGTAAAATAATTGATCAGTGCATGCTACGTAATAAGGGATGCTACGTCATCCCGTATACGTAAATTACGCCACTGCAAGTATATGACATCATCGTCTATGACGTCATTGCAAATCTATGACGTCACTGTAAGTAATGATATCGCAAACTAGATGAGTAAGTTGGTAATGCATGGTAACTGYTAAGTATTATGCACGAAATGTGTAATTATAATGTGTGATGGGACAATATTTAGATATCGATTTACATTGAAAAACTCTTCTACTGTAGCAAGCAACATTTCGGAGACTGTAGTGAYGGCTTRACTTATCTWTGCAAATCGTGCAGAATTCGCGTCGAATTAASGGCAACCATGAAGTTACTTGCTAAACAAAAGTTTTTCAATGTAAATGTACAATRTTGTTATCTATATATCTAACCCGCAATACCATCAACAGAGGAAGCTGAACAGCAAAATGATGACGCGGCTGAAGAGGAAGATGGCGAAGTTGAGACTATCTTTGATACCATGTCTCCACAGAAAAAAGGTGTGACGTGCAACTGTTGTAGTTATAAAGAAAGACAACACTAATTCACATGTTTGTTRTAGCTTCAATCTTGGAGGGTCTTGCCGATGAGTTCCGTCGYATCGTTGAGGAACGTGAATCAAAAGGACAGATGGTGTCAGTATCAGCAGCAGAACTTGACGAGCTGGATCTTAAAGTACGTTCATTACGAACCCAGGTCAGAAAAAGCGAGGAGACAAACAACCAGTTAACAAAGCAGAAACGAGAAATTGATGAGAAACTGAAGAAGAATGAGAATGAGGTATGTTATCACGTGATAGACACATGACTGTCTCATGCAAATTAATGAGTCATRCTTTACTTTTACCACGTTATTGCACGTGACTGCTATATCCACATTTTTTTGATTTTCCCCTTGTTTTCAGCTGAACAGACTACGCACCGATTTACAAAAGGCTGAGGCTGAGAACGAGCTGGCCATCAAAGAAGGAAAGTACGTGTCTCATCATTGGTCAATAATCTATTGTTATAACAGTTGAACTTGTTTTCATTGGTCGGTCAAATAATCAATTATTATAACTGTTATTTTCATTGGTCGATTAAAACAAGTTTTTACATTGGTTAATTTGATCGAGTCGATGCAAAACTGATTTTTTGTCCATTCTTTCCAGGAAAGTCGCACCTAAACTTCCAACTGCAAGAGGCGTAAGTAAACTAGCCTGGAAACCGTTACACCACAGAACCTAGAGCTGTGGCCCTTGAGTTCATGTTGTTTTTGAGAAGTGAATCAATACGAAATGAGTATTGCCATGTTGTTTGCCTGACAAACAACATGAGTCATATTGTTAAGTTCCCATAATGCACCTCACCAAAAAACGCATGACGTCACATTGTGAAGGCTTCAAGTCGGTAACGCTGACTAAGTTCATTATAACACCCATTGTTTTACAATTTTACTAACAAAAGCATTTTTGTTTTTCATGTCCATGTCACGTGACAGGCCAAGAAAGCTTCACCAGTAAGTACAGAGATCATTGATTGCTTTATTGTAACTAGTGGATTACGTATTGTAACTAGTGGATTACGTGCCCAGTAAAGTAACTCGAACACCGGTACTATACATTTGATAAAAGGTTATAATAAGTTATAAAATCTCAAAGACATCGAAACTCAAAGCCTTCGAAACCCATAAGCGTCTATTGAGAAGGTTCATCAAACCCTCTCAAAAGATGTAGCAGGCCAAACAAGCTGATTCGCTTTTAGTTTTGGGCCTAAAAATCAAAGCCTTACAAGCAAGAAACCCAAATCAGTTTAACAAGTAACCCCAACAAGTCAAACAGGTCGAACTGGTTTTCACAACAATGGGAACCCGAGGAGCAATTTTCGAGGTACGAAAATGTGCTTCCTTGGGTTGACTGGTCGTTGATGGTCATTCATGATCATWTCGTTGTTTTTCAGTGGGGTGGATTCGTCAACGTGGTCCGTAAGGCTCAGGCCGCCGCCTGGGAAGACAAATTTAAAGCTATGAAAGCCAAACAGAAGGGATCYGAGGTAAATACAAAATMAATAATAAAGATTATTGAAAATGAGTGCTTGTTTCTCAGTTGTGGTGGAATCTGAAATTTACAAGTAGTCGGATAAAATCACTCTTTTTGAATTAAAACTGTATTCAGTCTTCATTTTTTTTTCCAGCCTAAACCCGAATGGATGACTAAAGTCAAGAAACCCGAGAATCCTCTAATTGGTATCGGCAAAAAACCAGCCGCCGCTGCACAGAAACCTGCCGAGAAGAAGCCSGAATGGGCTCAATCCAAGCTGAAGAAAGGAGGAGGTGGTGCACCAGCTGAAAAAGAAAAATCTGAGAAGAGACCTGATTGGTCAGCTCGTTCACTCAAGAAATCCGAGAAGCCTGGTCATGGTGGCGATGACGAACAGACGCCATCAAGAAGACAAGACTGGAGGGAGGGCTTGAAGTCTGGCAAATAGACTTTCTGATATGAACCTTTAGAATTACTTTTTCTTATTGTGATTTTGTTAGATTGAAAACCAAGGACAAAAACAATGAAAAAACCTTGTAGCGTGTTGTATGTCTGTATCAGTCCCTCACGACGGATTCTAGTAAAGAGGAGTCTAGTAACAAGTTAATACCCGGCAAGCTTTGCAGGATTTTTCACGAATATATCTTCCTGTGCCCACCCCTGTTAGGCACAGTAGTGATAGTCAGGGCAAGGCGTATTTAGAATAACAAACAATTCCTATTTTTAGAAAATTTATTTTTTATTTTTCAAACGTCCTCGAAATGTTCAAATCRCTTCAGCATGAATTAGGATAAATTAGYATAATTATATCTTAATGCCTTCATGGTGGCAGAGTTTGGCATTTCCATGATGTCACTTTTATTTTTGTATACCGCTGAAAAAGTATTTTTATAAGAATATTTTAAGGAACTCAAGATGTGTATATGGCAAGCATGGAGTGTCGCTGGCTCAAGTGTTTTGTTTAATTATGCTGATGTTGTCAATAAAATCCAATTTCCTGTTTCTTGTATGTTGGAGAGTGTTATTTTTATGTCGTATTACAGAGCTCCCTATAATTGAAATCGTGAACTGATTAGGGAAGGAAAAGCGTTTTTTCGTGCTACCTCGGGGAGGTTTTRGTTGTAAACGGGGTGCATGCACTGGCGACCAGCATTTGATTATGCTCAAGATCGCTTATTCGTGCCTCTTTAATCGAATGCGAAAATTATTTGGCAAACTGTCAAATGCAGAAAATATCTTGATTTAAAGGAAGATGAGAGACGTCAAAGAAGACGAGAAAGACCACGTGACATCACCCTAGTTCCAGACCCCTCTCCCTCGAAAAGTACCATACCACCTAAAGTAAAACCGAAACCAAAATGGCACACTCTGTCACGTGACAAATCAACTGATCACGTAAGGTCCAGTCCCCTTGAAGTCCGTGTATCACTACCAGGAGACTGGTCACTAGGGAGAATAATTGYGACAAGTCCATCTAGCTTAAGAATAACAGAGAGCACGACAAAGACAGAAAGACGAGAAAAAAAGGTTTGTAAGTTATGAACTCGTGATGTATGTACTGGACGCGCACGAGCGCACGAGCGCACGCTTGTGTGAAACAGACAAACAGTGAAAATCAATGTTTAGTAGTTGAGGCTTGATTTACACGATGCATTCGCGTGTTGTATGTATGACTCACGCAGGTTGTATGTAAAGACTTTATTTATTTATGTATGCGACAGTACAGTTATAGGCTAAAATTATAGAGTGTAAATCAACCTTWAGATGGTTTTTGAGCTGTAGGTAATTTGATTTACACGACGCAGTTCGTGTTATTTGTATGACGCGCATTGTTTTTTTCTCAGGAATCAACGAATAGAAAGCCTCCACAAGTAAAGAAGAAGCCAAGGCGAACGAGGATTGATAAGGAAGTGTTTACAGAACAAAAAATTGCTTTTACTTTAGAACTGAAAACAAAGTTAGGATCACGTGATGAAAGTAGGGTAAGAAATCTTTATTATCTCAACTACAAAACAATATAAACATAATAACACYTAAGTATACATTAACATCCATTATAATCACAGTTTACAACATTAGCTATGTTCATACGCCGCCAACATGATCCCATGATGCACTTTGAGACTCACCAGCATTATTGCCATAGGAACCAGATCAGTTCAGTGACCCCGACACTTCACATACTAACCATGGCAACCTCAGGTATTTCATACTGACTTTCTTGTACGATCACGTGTGCACCTCGTGTATATCAGTTATCACGTGACTAATGCTAATGCATATATCCAGGAAATTTGCAAAACATCGTCGAAGTGTTCGACAGAAGAACCGGCGCCGACCGACCTCGAATCCCGTCCGACAACTGAAGAGAAGACGCGACGTGCGGACTGAGATATAACGACGAGCAAGTCGTAAATATAATATAGAATAATACCACACGTACATTAATAATATAAAGCATCTAGTTTTGCAGTTTTGTATTTAATTTATGGCAAAATGTATCAGTTGTAAGCTGTAAAAGTAATAATATATTTTTACCATTTATTTAACGTAATATAGTAAACAAGAAAAAGTGTGTGAAAAAGTGTGGTTAGGCATATCATTCATTACTTTAAGATCCAGTTGAATTTTTTTATCCCTTTTACATTTATTTAACAGAGACATTTTTAAAACATGATGTAACCGACTCTTTTTTAGAAAACCTCATCATATCAACATCATGTCCTCATATAATATATTTTATATGGTTTTTACAAAGTACTGATGCTGAGATAGTGAAATTCATTGAATGGTCATTTGGTAATTCGTGATAATTCTACTATATTCTTGTCGATATATTTTAATTGACGAGTTTATGTCTGCACTCAATTTCTAGTGGGTGGCAGAGGTGGGACGATGTATTGATCGATTGAATACAAATATGAAAAAAAAAGTTGTAGGATGATAATGAATATAACGACAGGTAGCCTTGTTTTTTTTACGAACAGGAAGTCCTATTGCAGGTGGAAAACAACCGGAAGTGTAGGTACTGACCGGAAGTATTTTATACAACTAGTCAGAAATGTTAMAGTTTGGTCGAGAACCACAATAAATAATGTGTGAACATATCCATCATACACCATACCATGCTGTATTAAAGCCAAAACACGAAAACTAATCCAAAACATGTGTTGATATCAGAGGACACAAGCGTCCGTTTGATATTTCTTTTACGGTAAACCTTAACTCTCATACAAGCACGGTTGATAACCGTGACCAATGAGAGCGCGCATTATAATTTCATAATAATATTTTTATTTAATTATCACCTTGTATCAAAACTACTTGACACTTTCACTCGCTTCAACCGAACTAATTCATGTTTATTTAGGTGTTTTTATTAATATATTTTAGTTAATATTGTACGTCACATCAACCAGGGAGCTTTTGATATCAGATTGGTCCCATGCGGTGCGCGCTGTGACGTCACTGTAGTACCGTGACGCRTCTCCCGTAGCCCCCTAAACGCAATGTTTWCTGTAAGGGGTTACAATGTGATCGTTTCTCGACGGTCCATGCGACAAAAACAGCAGCAACATTTCTCGACGGATGAATGGGAGGTGGGAGTTACGAACTATGTACAAATACACWGTACAAAATAGAGGGTTACGGTTCGAGTGCTGCAGCGATTGTAAGCACTGAAGAGATTTGCATTTTGCRAAACGATGGATTATCCTTATTTTGTTTTCTCTAGGCTATTGATAGAGTACTTTCAAGATGTTTTCTGAATGGTTATCACTGGACTGTGGAATAAGTTGACGTTATCTTCAGCCCATAAATCGGCTTGTGTTCTTTTTAGTAATATGGCTATTAGAAACTATTATATACTGACGACTGGTTTCATGATCAAAGTCCCTCTTACATTTATCTTGTCGCGCTAATGTACAAAGAAGARTCAGACGAAATACGTTTTGGATAAGAATGCGTYGTGGTATCGGAATTTTAGTTTGTTTATCTTTTGAACAAACATCATTTTTTTCGGTTTCTCTTTTCATATGAACATACTCTTGATTTGAAAAGGCTTCATATGATCAGCAGTGAATTGAATTTAACACAAAAAGTACATGATGATCATTTATCAATATAGTTATTAACACATGCGGAACAGAAAGATAATGGCTGCTGATGTCATAGCGGTTCAATCGTGAGTTAGAAGTTAAAATTGAATTATATTTTATCGCGTTTACTTTTAGAATTTGTTCAAATGACTACACGTGCTATACTTTGCGTGTTTTTTACWTTTAACCAAGGATTGACAGCTAGTGCAATGACGTCAATACTCAGGAATTGTACTTTAAGTACTCTACCGTATAAAGAAACCGGAAGTCGTGAAAATACTGCTGTAATTCCAGTCCGTACTTCATCAAGTTTAAAAGTAAATTCAATTTTAATATTACCAATCTCGACTTAAATTTTTATCATAAACTTTACTGCGTTATCAATTAACGAATGCTACGTCATCACATTTTAATTGACACCTTACGTCATAGAGGGTGTGACGTCACAAGGCATAGCGTCTTTTTTGTGTAGCGGCTGGAAACCTATCTGATGGGAACGAAACAAAATGAGTTTAAGCGATTGGTCCATTTATTTAATTGAATATGCTAAGCATATTAGTTGGGGTCGATCTTTCACACAGAGTTATATATATTACGAGAGAAAGAGAACTGTAGATTCTTATGACATGGTATATTTGTGAATAAAGAAAGATATTGTTAACAATTATTATTTTTTGGTTGGCATGATAATAGTAAACATTGATTAGACAAGTTTAGGAGAAGGGCACACGCACATAACCCTTGAAAAAACGTGCTAAAAAAATATGTTTTCTTTTATCTTACCAACACCGTCTACTCTAACTTTTTATTGTTCTTAATAAGGGAGTTAACCAGTCTAGTGCCCTAACTGTCTGCAATCTTATGAAGAAGTAGAGATTTCTAGCTATTGTACTTGGGTGCGTCAACAGTGCCTGGAATGTTCCAGTTGGGATATGACGTCAAACCTACCAATGAAAAGCCTCCTCAAAGATCACAGTTTGAAATCTTTCAGACAGTGTACATCAAGTATAATAATAATATTATTATATAATATTTTCCAATGCTTTTTTTGATGTTTCAAAACTACTTATTTAGTACCCGCGACGTTTTGACGCTTTTACGACTAATTCAAATACGAGCTAGAACTTTCTGAAGTACTATTGGCAAGGACTGACTATTAGCTGATATTGAACGCCTGTGAAATGAAAGATGGGTTAGCCTGTTTAACTGCAGTAAAAAAACATCAACTAAAAGAAGATTAAAAACCATGAAAACTCTACAAACTGCACAAGACCTTAAAATTCTTTAATATGTTGACAAAAACATAACATAAAAACATGCTCAGGAAAGWGTTTCATATCAAGCAATATAGCTAAGGTTTATAAGCGCTATATATCCGGTTGTTTTCCTTTTAGAAAATTTAAGAAAAATAAAAAAGCTGTTGTTAACAAGTACGCAACAGTTTCACCTGGGAAAATTGAGAAAAATATGGAAAGTTACTACCGTAAGATATTACGCTAAGCATTAGTGGGCTTAGTGTATGAGTAATTAGATAAATGACTAATACTTCGGATTTACTCGGTACGTGTTCGGCAGCCCGAAAATGATCCGAAATTCTTACGCCACTTATATGTCGTCCTCGATAGATACGTCATAACATGGTGGCCGACCAGCAGGTGTCAGCGTGATGAAGGCAGAATTGTTTTACATGAAAATGCGTTATTTCGCAATGAACTTCGCTGTCACGTCGTGAGTTTCCTACAATACAATATGATAATTTATGGATTTGAATAAAAACAGCTCATTTCGACAAAGGAAGCGCGGGTGATCAAAAAGAAAATAGTATACGCTCTTTGACAAAGGTATACTTTATAAACCGCCCAAAGTAAATTCTTGGATAAGTAATTTAAATGAAAATGGGAAATAAAGTTGTTATGAATGACAAAAGAGACGAGAAAAACATTGACTCGAAATACTCAACACAAAGATAGTCGAACCACCTGCCTCTATATCACCATGRCAATCACACCACCAATCAAATTGATGATAAAGCTGTCACTTTTACATGTAAACAAAAACCCTTAAACCCGACCACAAATCATCTTAAACCAGGTAATAATTTAGAATCACCAGGACTACAACGCGTTTTCTCATGAGACAGTGTAAACCCGTAATTTAGAATATTAGGATTAGTCTAGAAGAAGTTCCGACAACCAGCCATTGTTCATATACTCTGACGCACGAACCACTCAAATTGATGTCCATTTGAAGCTAAAATGAGCTGTTTGACGTCATAGTATTGCCCAAAATAGCGCACCGCAAAGACAACAATTGTAAAGGAAGCATGAAAATGGAAATGCGTGGGCTGCTAGGTTCTCATATAGATATGTAATGTTCACTTCTAGTACTCTGTCATATCGTTAGTCCGTTAGCAGAACACACAAGGTAACAGGCTTGTTATACAAGCAACCTATGATCGAACTTCATTTACGAGTACGGACTGTACAAAGTACTCAAGTCAACGACTAAAGAATCCAGCATTTTCTTCCCAAAAAGGAACAAAGCAAGATTTAAACACTTAAAAAACAAGCGTTCACAAAGAACACAGATAATCTACGATTCCAGAAGAAAAGATAATTCAGCCGCCATTGCAGAACAAAAAGCCTCTAGTAAATCTGAAAAACCTATGATGAAGAAGACTGAATATTTTGACAGCAGCGATAGCGATTCTGACTGTAGCAGTATGAGCGGAAGTAAACATGTCCAGTGGGCAAACGATTTAGTAGAGATTCGCTACTTCTCTACCCCACACGACTTCAAGGACAGTTTTCGGAAGAAAATCCGAAAAATTAAGGAGAAGGCAAGCGAATTAACGGACAAACCACTAAAGATTATAACTTCAATGGGTGAAGTAAGCGCTACAATATTTCAACATGGTTTAGAATTTATATCAAAGCATCACGGACCGCATGGATCTTTTGACACAGATTTAGTTAGTTATGAAGATATCGAAGAGGAGTGGGATCGACTGTTTGAACGATATGCGGTTCCTACCTCAGAAACGCASTACAAGAACGACAAGAACATGTGAAAAGATGCTTTATCGCTTTACTTTGGTATTAAATAAATTGACAAAAACAACGTTTTCTAAAAACATTTGTAACACCTCTTGGACATTACCTATGATCACCAAAAAGACTTACCAGATGAATTCATATGCAAAACAATAATATTAAGACAAATTAAAAAAAAACTCTTGTTTATCCAAAGAAAAAGGTTATGAACTATTATGGATAAAATAGAAGAGAATCAATGGAAGGAAAAGAAAGAAYAATTCAAGATAAAACGATGAAAATTCAATTTGCAAATCGAGTCTTGCGCRCCGGACGTCACCATTCATCAAATATTAACAGCAAAAAATCTTTTGTAGTTTCGCAATCCATTATTGCTAACTTAAAACTAAATTTACAAAACTCTCTCAAATTATTATTCTGAAGTGGTCTACAACGTTGAGGCCAAGGCTACGATTCACATTAACGGCACCGGTGRATCGCCTCAGGGGGCAGAATGTGCCAAACCGCTTTGAATTAAATTTTAAATTTTTCAGATTCAAGTCATCAGTCATTTTCCTTATGACGGACGATACATTAGGAATATAACGCGATTTAGTCAAGCGCGCCATGATTAAGAGCTGGTCTTTTAGTCATGATTCATGCGTTTTACACGAAATCGAAGAAAATTGAAAAAAGTCAGTTTTCTTTCTATTTTCAAAGCAATTGTTATTCAAAATGCATATTAAGCTGGTCTTAGCATATAGTTTTATATTAGCTCAATAGAAATAGTTATCAAAGAAATATTTTTCTTCGTCTTTATAAGAACTGTAAATAAACCATAAATACAATATAGTACGCTAATAAATGAAATCGTTTGAAATTTATAACTGTTTCTTGKTTATTCTATCACTGATTTCTTTAATTTGAACGATTTTGACAATMTCTAACTCGTTTAAAACTGATTCCCACGCAAAATCCAACTTTCTTTCTTTTCGTAATGGCGGCCAGCATTGCCGGCATATGTTGTTAATTATAGATACCTTTCTTCCATCATGTGATTCAAAGAGACAAAACGTACTGCACGTGCCCCATGTAAAACTTCTACCTTCTTATGTAATGGCTGATGTTACGATAAAAAAATATCATTTATAATTTAGACTTTGGCAAGAACAACGGAACAGTTGCCATTTTCGCGCGTCGTGCTGGCTATTTCTAGCAAGAATTTTCCAAGAAAAACTGTCAAAAGAGTCCATTTGATATAGTTTATACGTGGTTTTTTTTAACTAAACATAAGAATAAACGTTAGTTTTAAAGCAGATAAAAATACAGGCTGTTTTCCAAGCAAAATAAAGCGGAAATAGATCATCGCTTTATCATAACAACAGTTTTGGTTCGACTGCACGCAGTTTGTTCAGGTACGAATTAAAAGCTTTTTCTAGGAATTATACCCGCGATGTTCATGGGTTTCGGCTGCCTGAAAACACAATAAATTACTTTTATGAATACCCTGTTAAATGCTAAAAGAAATCCGTTTGGCCATAGTTATAGTAGAGGAAAACCCAGTCTCGCTCTACTAATTATGGTTTGGCTTGTTTCTGTCTGGTATGATGTCGTTGCGTGTTTCAGTTCTAACCACACACGGCGTATCGCTATTATTGACTTAAAGCATATTTACACAGCTGAATGGCTTTTGCAATATATTTTCACACAATTATTTAATGATAATTTTGAGACGAATAAAATATTAAAGTAAATTCTGGAAGTCAAGACTTTGTGGTGTACTCACACTTCACATGACTTACATAATACAGTCGTGTCATAAGGAAGTGATATGTTTTAGTATTCATGTAGTAACAGTCCGTAAAACCAGTACAAAAGTCAAAGATAAAGCTTACTTAAAATCTTGAATAAAAAGATTWAAAAAAAGTAATTTAGCGCTTCGGTTTGCGCATAAAAAAACTCAGGCCACAGTCAGCCCCTCCCTAAGACTGATGAGAGCACAAACAAACACATTAATAGATACGAATAGATTTAAATTTAACTTAAAAGTACTWGGCGTTACTGTTAGATTTATTAAAAAAAAWTTATAATAAGAAATGCTCCACTGTTCCCGTTTCTTAGCGTCATCGTGTAAAGATGGCGCACGCCATTTGCACCAAACGACAGTGTTTCCCAGCAATGACAGAAACCTTATTTTTTGCATCAGCAAATATTCAATATTTTTTCTATCAATGGTGGCTCAACTGCCTTCTTTGCTTCCATATAAACACGGCTTATTCTTTTCAAGACGGCGCTGAGAACCATAAAATGGAGGATAAAGTATCTAGATCTGCCTGCGTGCAGCCACCTGCAGTTTTCCTTCAACTACTGCACACAGGCCAAGAATCTTGAGATTCATTAAGTGACTTTGTTTTCCGGAATCATTCCAGGTACGACTTCCTATGGGGCAAAATCGAGTTTATTTGTTATGAAACAGCGATAAACCTTCACTGTCACATAATTAGACTATATAGTACGTCTGCAAACATGGATATCTATCTTTGTGATTGATTAAAATCCAACCACGTTCTCGTTTTGCATTACAATTCTTTCTGCATTCATGCAAAATCACTAACTTCTGTCATATCAGCGTATTATTCACTAGATATGTGACCAGTTGACTCCTGTAATCTCATGCTTTCATTRATAATCACTTCCATAGTACGTGTAATCAGATTTTCTGCGAATTCACTCATTTTTTCCTTTTCATTTTCATCTCCATCGATTTGAGAGGCGGCTTTTGAAAAAGGTTTTTAGATAACACAGTAAATGACATATAWTAAGTGTTATAGATCAAAACAGAGAGCACAAAAAGGTTCTAAACACACTCAAGCACATTTCATAGTTAGAATAAGCAAGGTTTTATAGCCAATGACTGGCAGCAGCTGAACTGATAGCCATCGGCTCTGAATTAATCTTAARAGCAGTGGTTTCCATGGTTTTTCGTTACATTGTTACATACATAAGTCACGTCTTCAAGAGCCTTCCACGGCTTACATAAATTGAACTTTGAAATGCGTTTCACGGAATCACGATAAAATCAAATTSAACTATTATCACTTATTTATCTTTCTACATGGCTTTACGAGACATTTTTTATCATGACTTTCGTTAGTTGGACACGCACGCGCACGTTCGGCTTACGTAATTGGTATACATCACAGAGTCGACGTAAATATACGCACAACGGTACAATCGTTACAAACGCAAAGTAGCTTCGGCATGTTCTTTCACGTTTGGTATATACTTAAACGGTATAGATTCGGTGCGTACTCACATAGTCGGTACAAACGTTAACAATAGTTTCGCTAACATTCGCACGTTTTTGGTATATGCAAACGGTATACCGACTCGTCGCACACTGCAGTAGAGTCGGTAGGCAGATAACAGTAGAGTCAGGGCATTTGCGCGCATTGTAAACACTCGGGCGCACGCGGGTTATAAATGCGTTTTGTATGAGTATACTCGCGCCGAGGAGAATATGAAAGTAATGATTAAGCTAAATGCGTATCAAAATAACCTAGTTAATTAGGGTTTAAAGTTAGCATGACTCARACTTCAGATTATCACTTGATCTTTAAGCTCGCTAATGAGATTCAGAAGTCTTACTGAGTGTAAATCAAGATGATAGTCATGATATTACAAGTGATAACGGTCCATGTATCAAATCTTTTATTACACGCAATGTGTCGATATCCGCGCCTTTGCTAAACATATCTTTAAGTAAYTATGCTTTAGGACAATAGCAGGGCGCTTTGTACTGCAATTCACTTAAAAAACTTAAAACACATAAAGAATCTGGTGATTTTATGCGCAATTATCACGTTCACTCTATGACACGGAGTCCGGAGTGCTCTGGAATTCCGGATTCCATGCTTCTGCATTCCAGATTCCAAACTCCTGGGTTCCGGATCGACTGCTATAAAAAAATCGCAAGGACGCTGGATTTCATCATACTTAAATCATTTTTTTTTTCTAATTTGAATCCCGAACTCCTTGTAAACTGTGCCAGGAAATATTGTTAACGTGAACACGAAGGAATTATATCGTCAAACTATTGGTTTGCAGCTGGAGATCGCTTTTACACTTTAACATGATTTAAAAAAAAATAATTTTACGCTTTACATAGCTTTACATAGAATTTATAATAACTTTTAAATTAGTGTAAGTAAGCTGAAATTTAAATTGAATTGAAATTCTAAACCTATTCTAGGGTATCATCTAAAAGTAAACGATCAATTCTCATTACATTTACATACTTTTCTTTAAAAAGAGGAAATATTACACAATATGTGAAAAAAAGTATCTTACTAATGTGCAATGAAATTAAAGGAGAAGAAAAAGTAAAAAAAGAAACAGACATGAAAAGAAAAAAATAACGTCGCGAGCAGGATTTGAACCTGCGCGGGGAGACCCCATTAGATTTCTAGTCTAACGCCTTAACCACTCGGCCATCGCGACTTACATGTAATACACTTTCAACCTTTAGTGTTTTAATGTTATGATTTCTTTTTATCAAACTAGAGTTGCATTTTGCCGGAGTATAAAAACTTTCTCTTTAAATTTCAAAAGCYTAAACCACATTTATTACTGACTTTACACAAAGAAAGTACTTTAAGCTTTTTTTTGTTCATCGAAATGATGCGGACATAGGAAGCCAAGAATGTTCTTCAAGAGGGCGAAAGTAAGTCAATCGATTTATATTCGTAGTTGCTATCCAAGACAGTTGCTCTAATAATAACTTTTCAAGCATTCTTTTAAGTAATCTTCAGCACTCAAATATTGAAATGCTGAAATATCATCTTGAATAGAAAACGCGTTCTGATTGGCTCGATGGCTAAGATAAATCCGCTGGCGCGAAATTCGATGACTCGCAATTTCCCAAAATGKCGGACGTAACATCACGAATTGGGACTGTTTATCGACGTGTTTTATGGTAAGAAAAWCAGCAGAATTCTTTACTAAAACATCTTTTGAAGCTGCTTTAATATCTAGACTTCCTTTCTAATGGATTTTTATACCACTGATWGGTGTATTTGTAGGAGATATAAGACTGTACAAGAAGCACACTAGTCAATTTTCAAGTCACGAATTATCCATRCAAGATGTTGAATGAAACCGAGGTAAACCACTTTCCTTCTGCTTCTTAATATTATTTTAGTGCTAGATTATTTCTTTAGTGAAATCAGAGATTTGTAGCAGTCAATATACTCATATGGGAAGTAAAGTTTAACTACTAAGACAACTAAGATGCGGATAAAATAACTTAAGTTTAATAATTATTGCCACAACTTTCTGAACGATATGCATACTTATGAAATCCCAGTTTGTTGATTCATAAACTATGGTTGACTAAAAATTGACCTCCATGAGAATTAAGTTTTGAGAAGTAAGATTTCTTTCCAAACTTGGATTAAAGTAGATTTTAATTTATTAAAAACCCAATACGGAATGCTGAAATTAGAGATGCTGCGTTCATTGAAATATGAAATTCCGAAAGACCAAACTTATGTAATAACTTTCCTAGCTTATTGTAAAGAGAACGTATGCGAACAGACACAGGTAGCCCAGCTTGTTTTTTCTCAGTATCATCAGTCTTTGCGACGGGGTACAATCTAATACATCAACACTTTAAAGTGTCTAATACTTCAACTTGTTGTGTGCCATAGCTTGAGCAAGTGCGCATATTGCTGTACCCTCGCACGGTGTGTGCGAATGGTAGAGTTTGAATTCATTATTATACATATTTAGTAATGTTCACTGATTTCCATTACTATTCAAAATATTATCATCAGTATGTTCTTTTTGTCACTTCAAGAATCACGTAGAATGTTTCTTTTGGTCTTATAATCACTGGTCAACAACTGCCGTTATCTCCGACRATGAAAACATGTTGTTTATTAAAAGATTTGAGAAAAATATTTGCTGCACCCTCACTAAATGGCCGCTGGGTTAGTAATATATACATCWAACAAACATATTAACTTTGTATAAAACACCTCCTGTGATATCTTTAACGTAAACAAATGATAATAATTTTCAGCGTTAATTAACAAAWCACAGATCAATGATAAATTGCGAGAAAAATTAAGAATCCGCTTCACTCCATCGTAAATTAAGAAAGACACTTAATTGTAAAGACCTTGGATGAGTAGCTGTATGGTTTAGAGGATGAATGACRTCAAGTGATATGAAACAAAGCCGAATGGCCGCAAATTAGTGAATGAATCCCCATTGGATGAGTGAATGATTGGATGAATAAAAAAAAAAAGTAATGGATAAGGCATAATATAGATGAAGAAAGATGTGTAAGRATGCACGCCCCTTACTCTCATACCATTTGTTGCTGATGAATAAGCAATTTAKATGAGTCGGCGAACGATCGTTCTCTATGAGTCGTTGTATCCTGTCGCACGTTAATGAAAGCCCGCCCCTGCGACGTATAACATTTTTTTTATAACAAATGCATTATATATWGTGTAAGGTATGCTGTAATATYACATCGTACACGTGAACATGTGATGACAACAACACGTGTGTTGCATTCCACGTGAGATCAGCAACCATTAGAGTATGRAAGCTGAGTAATTCTAGTTTTGTCGACCCTAGCCGAACCAGCGTGAAGTAACCATTATTTCTTGGAGTTTGGATTCTCACAATCAGCGTGATTGAACGTGATTAGTRTGTAAYCAAACACAATAGTCATATAAACTTGGAATAWATATCTCCCTAGCAACCAGCTTAACAACTCTCTAATTCACAGCTAGAGTCATTCCCWTTAGATTATGAAATAAACCTATTTGCTAATGCGTAAAAACCAGATTCCAACAAAGAMAACAATAAAATTATAGTGTACAGGAAGGTATCATTGCATTGCATATAAAACTAAGAAGCATGATGCAAGTGGCGACTAAAAGGAACTGAAATCACTATTTAGACTTATTGATGAAAAACAAAAGAAAACAATTGATTAAGAAGATAGTGCTGCAACGTGACTCAGTTATTTATAGTTTAATGTGTGTATTAAGCTACAGATGTAGAGGTGCTTGGCRCGACACCCGGTGCAATCAGTTAAGTGCCTTCAAATAGGTTTCCCTTTGTATTTTGATAACAACCAAACGAATATTGAAAAAAAGGAAAATAACAAATAACTTGCAAGAAAAGTATCAACAACGCAAAAACACAGCAAAACAACAACAAAACGCAAAAGGCTTTGTTTGTCACTTTAAAAGAAAATATGGTATGTTTTGAAAACAAAAGCTGTTTTATTGCAGAACAACAACAACAACAACATCGATCGAAATGTAGTCAGTGAGATTAAATTACTGGGTGTGATGTTACACTTTTAAACWGAATTTTATTAAACTGTATTTTACACTTGGCCCTTAGGCGAAAACAGGCCKTTAAGGAAGTCGACTGAACAACGTAATAGAATCAAAATCTTTTTTACCAATCTGCTGCCAATATAGTTCAAGAGCACCTCTTTACTTTATTCAACGATCTTCTTAAACGATCCCTATTTTAAACAGGTGTTTGCGCAATTAATGTGCGAGGTCGTTACTCCGGCTGAAGATGCCGTGACATGAAAAAAACAGATTTTATATTAACAAAAAAGAACAAAAKGTGAAATCTGCAAACACGATTATATACGGTTGAACTTTGAAAGATCGAAAAGTCTAGTTTTTTACTATAAAAATCATATGTGAAATCTTAGCTTTGAATAGAAAGTGATTGATATATTAAGCACGTAATATCCACGTGACTTTTCAATGATAATCTGAATCATGTGACTTTTTGCCATTTGTGTAACAGTTTTTCTGTCATTTTGAATTGGTCTTCGCTTCCTGCTGCCAACGTTCATTACAAATATAGCGTGAAAAGCGCTTTTTGTTTTAAGACATTTACCGATAACATTGACTGAAAACAAGTTTTGACTAATTTTGGTCGACACTCTACGGTGTCATTAAAGTGGATTTTKTAAAGCAATAACAGAYTAAAGTGAACCTTCTTGGAGGGATTTCCTTTCATTCGAAGTATGTTTTGTACTATTCCACACGTGAGAGGAAAGTGTTCATCGTCTGACATACATGTACTATAATATACTTTTTTAATATCACAATTTGGGTTGATCTACACGACATGCATTTATCCTACGTTCCTAACACGGGTTTTGATGCATTAATCTTGGTTATAAGAAGAATGATATTATATTCACGATACTTAGCAGCAAGTGTAAATAAAAACGATTGTGAAACGTTAGTCTCGTTTTGGAGTAATCGGGATTCTCGAATAATTGACATTTATTCAGTTGTTCATTCTGGAGGCTCATCTATATTGTTAGTGAAATAAAGAGTCTTTTTAGTAGACTTCGGTATAACTGAGTAATCGAATGAGACAATGACACTTCATTGATTATTTCGAAGACGTAGCCGTTGAATTCTTTTATTCCACCATCACATTTGTTGTTACATGATTAGATGCGTCGTGTTGTTTTTGGGTTTTAAAGCGAATAAAATAAACCAAGATAACATGAAGACAAGAAGACAAAAGATAAAAACAAAAAATACGACGTACAAAAATAGCTATAAGATAATTACATTAAGGCGAGAAAAAAGATCTTCAGCTTTAATATTACAGCGTAAAAATTGGGAGACCGCAGAAAACGGGTCTAATTAGTCTCTTAATTAAAGACAACAAAAAACGAAACAAAAGAAGGAGAAGCATAAACATGCAATCGAGGAAAGAGCTTAAATATTTGTCTCTGTTCCATAAATTCAAATAAAGAAAGTTTATTTCTATATAAGATGATGATAAGGCAATAGTCCATTATTAATACAAAGATGAAATCATGTAGTTTTCGCTGCGCTGTTTTCGCTGCGCTGTTTTCGCTGCGCTGTTTTGAGCATGAAAAAAGTGTTATAGTCGTGTAAGATAAAACATCACGTTTTTATTGCGATATGAAAAATGATTTGCAATAATTAGTAAGTTGTGAGATGATCCCACAAAGCACTGCGCACGTTTTACAAAAAAATACAGGGACAYGTGAGTACACCGCTGACCACAAATTAACGTCACACAGAGCCACTATTCTTCGTAGAGGCTGTTTTAGTGTAACGATATATATATAATGTAACCCTGAAATTAGATGAAGTATTTGAACGTCCTAGATAATCTGGATATTTTTATAGCTCAATCTTAAATTRCATGTGAAATGTGGCTTGTTGCTTGACAACTTTTGAAGTTAAATACTATTTTAAAACGTCAWTAATTTCATTCAGAAACGTGCTAGAAAAGTCGCCTGTGTCTTTCTCTCCAAATATTGATAGATGGTGACACTTAAGCCGATTTCAGAAATGGTCTRTTTATTAGCCAATCACATCTAAGGTTACTTATCAAATGAGCCAATCAGCGTCATAGCCACAGACTCTGAGCAAGTCCATATTAGGATGAATTGGTCTCTTCTCTTTCAAGGTCATCAAAATTTAAGCCGTTTTCTTGGCTTTGTCCAGTGATTCATCCCGCCTGGCGCGATTTYGCGTTATTTTTCATGCGATGATTGTGCGTTGAACGTGATAATTCAATATTGTGGTCAGTGGTTCAGTCATCAAGAAAGCTGCGATCMGGACCGAATGATGTCATTTATCAATTATTCATAGTTGTACACATTGCATATAATAACATGTTTATACTTAGAAAACACTGAGACAACCYCTTCCGCACAAAGAAACTCACTTCAAATCTTCTTATTCTTCAATTATTCGTTCGCGTTTTATCACTAAAGAAACTGGTCAATTTAGAGAGACATGTCTAAAAAAAGGTCTTCGAGTTGTGAGTTTCTCGCTCGACACCATAGCCGTATGGCAGACGTGTACGCGGTCCGTAGAATGCCGCGATCCAGTTCAGCAAGGAAGAAGAGTGTTCAGTGGTGTACAGACTTGGAGCAGGTCCGCTATTATAAACCACATAGAAGCAAAAGCGATTCAATAAAGCGAAAAATCAAAAAAGCTTTTTTGAAAAGAGAAAAATTCAACGACATGACGTTCATAAAGGACATTCGCCCGAAAGCACTGGCACTTAACTGTATGGCTGCACAGAGCTGGGACGCCGATTGGAATTTTGATGA